TGATGAAGTTGTTTAGCACCTCTGTAAGCCCTCTCTGAAGCTTCATGGAGACTTCCCGTTTTTTCTGTGCATCCTGTCACTGGAAACCAATAAAAAGTAATGTTTATTGCTAGATGGTTTGAATATGCAATTGCTTGAGAGGGAGTCTCACTTAGGTCTGTGAAAAGCATACCTAATCTGTATGGGCCACTCAGTCCAGCACCAGTGGAGAGCAATGGAGTGTTTCCCTTTTTGCCTAATACAGAACAGGTTGGTGATATTCTTCAGTTAATCTTGTCTCAGGCATGTTGCACATTGTGCTTGCATTGAGACTGTAAAGTCTCAGCACAGAACAAGAGGAGGACATGTATGGAGAACAATTTAGGCTCATGCTTTGGCAGCAGCACTGTTTACAAACTTGCAGGGAGTTGCCTCAGAGACAGGTGCTCCTCTTTGAAAAAAATAAATCTTTTGTTGTCATCTTTTCATGAGCACTAGAATTCATTTAAAAACTTTTGTAGTTTGAAGAGAACCAAACTTGAAGGCTTCTTCCTTCTTGGAGGTAGCTTTTCCAAATGGACAATTCAGGTGGTTGTGCAAAAATAGTGAATTAATCTAGTATCTGAATTTTCTTGCCAGTTTCAAGTCTAGTCTGTTCAGATTAGATGTTTCTAATCTGAAGTAAAGATGTTCATATAGAAGATATTTGTTCAGTGGTTTTTGTTAGGCTGGAGGCTTTCTTACTGCTGACTGAAAGTGTTTTTTTCACCCCAGTGGAAATGCCCAGAGAGCCTTGGTTAGAGCATTAGAAAACTTCCTTGTGAATTTACATAAGTCAGCTGATTGATCATAAACAAACCTCATCCTTATCTTAAGGCTCAAATTCCTCCTGAAACACATAAATAAAAAACAACTGGGCTTTTAGTTGTTGATCTGCTCATTAATTATTGTTTCTTTATTAAGAAGGTAAAATGTGTGTTAAGGAGTTTCTCTGATTTTTCTAAATTAAATGAAAGATGAGTTCTGCTTTTAGAAACTTAAGCTGGATTTGCTTATTTAAGATGATAATCACAAAAAATTAGGGAATGAGGCTCTGAAGGTTAAAGTAATTTCTGTGCCATAAGCAACTGGATCAAACATTTTGATGCATATCACAGAATCCGAATCACAAAAGCAACTGGGTTAGAAAAGGCCTTTGAGATCATTATATCCAACCTGTGTCCTAATGCCACCTTATCAACCAGACTGTGGTGCTGAATAGCACACCCAATCTTTTCTTAAATACCTCCAGGGACAGTGACTCCATCATCTCCCTGGGTAGCTCATTCCAATATCTGATCACCCTTTCTGGAAAAGTCTTCTTCCTAATATCCAACCTAAATGATACCTGTCCAGAAAAGGAAAACAGGTGTTCAAGCAAGGCTGTGTTGGTAACACTGTATTAATATCTGTCAAAGTAAAAAAACTAAAATAAATATAAATAAAAAATACTGCATTTACTGTTCTTACCAAATGTGCCTTCTGTATATATCTGGTATAAGTTAGTTTTTCAAAAGTCTTTCAACACTTTATGTTTGAAATCCAGTAACTTTGTAGATCTTGTACAATCTCTAGGCCTTGTCTTAATTAGGTTTTGTAAACCGATGCTGCTTGTGAGCCAGTCTGCAAGTGATTTAAGGGCTTCCTTCTGTATTTGGAAAAGGTTTCTGGTCTCCTCATGCTGTAAGAATGTACATCAGGAGCTACTCACTAACAAGAGGCTGATGGAGATAAAAAGCTGGTAGTTTTGTAGCTTTCCATGATGATGACATGGTACTTTTGTGCTTTTGTCTGCTGCTGCACCACCATAGTGCTCTGTGTTCTTGAAGGGCTTGGGTGGTGCTGCGTTGAATTTTTTGTTCTGGTGACATGAGCAAGTCCTGTGCCTTACTGGGTGTCACAGAAAATGTGCTTCCTGTCAGTTTATTGTCAGAGCAAGACAGAATGAAGCAATGAAGCTCGCAGTGTTTCCAAAATTGGGATTTGCTTGCATGGTGGGAAGGAGTTTTAATTATTTTAGTACCTTGTCAGTCTGGTCTGGATAATCATGCCATATATTAATTTGGTAAGTCTTCCAATTTTTATTACCTTAGCTCCTCTTTTCTCTCCAAAGTGATGGTTGGAAAATCTGAGGTGGTGGCACCAGAATGCAAAACACCAAAAAAAATTCATTTTGATTTATGTTGACAGTTTGTTGATTCTCTTTAAGTTCCTTGTATGGATTGAGAATAGGACACACAATGTTGGCAGCTCTTCCTTCTAATTCAGCATTCTGCAAGGCTTTCTGCTGCCCCTTCTGTAGTTGTGTTTCCTTAAATGCAAAGCCTGTGTTTGTTCTCTTGTGTATGGAATAATCTACAGACTGTGCCAAAGTAACCTGCTTTGTTAAACCTACCTTGGACAAACAAATGCAGGATATAACTTGCTTTGTGTGAAAGCACTTTGTGTTTGATTATGTTGAAATTACTGTTTGTTTTTAAAACTGACTCTGTTTAAAATAAAAACTTTGTCTTTCCTATCTAGTGCTTGTAGTTGGAAAATTATAATATTTGGAATGTTTCCAAACACGTGGATGGCTGAAATGTTAAAAGAAGAAAAGTAATTACAGGGAGAAATTTTTCAGACTCTCACCTGGGCCAGGTCTCTGATAAATGGCACCATCTGCCTTGCAGACAACTGTCCTGCGCAGAGCCACACTGTTATTTTCCTGCAACCCAGGTCCTAGAAATATTTTTTCAATTAAAACTTTTGGGTAGAACTTTCACTTACAGTGCAACTAAACAAACACATAAATGTGGCTCCATGTTCACATACCAGGAATATATATCAAATATCACTGTATTCAGTAGGAAAGAATCCCTGTTAATCATGTGAGAATACCCTACTTTCTTTCAATATTTTCTATATATCTTTCAATATTCTTTCTATATTTTTGGTTGGTTGGGGGTGTTTTTTTGAGGTGCAGAAAACACAAGAAGTCAAGGTTAGTACCTCAAACAAGTTATTTTTATTAAGCAACTTTAGGGTTATTTTGGAAGTGAGTGTTGTATGAACAGTTTTTCCTTGGTAAGGTAAGATACAGAAGGAGCAATGCTGGCTTTATGGACTCAGGCTGTTTTCACATAAGGAAGATCACAAGGCACCTAAAATCCTCCAGCCTCACATTACAGGTGCAGGTAAAACCCTTCCCTACACCCACCTTCATGAGCTTTCCAGGATGACTTTGCTTTCTCTTACAATTTGACAGTGTTATTTTCATTAGACTTCTATTTTTATTAGCCAGAACTTGCACAATGTTCAGATTGTAATGAGGATTGAGCCAGAAAGAAATACAACTTGCTTTGTCATACAAAGAGGATCCAAAATAAAAGTTGTTAAAACAAGTAAAAGGCAGCTGATAGCCCTACAAGAGGGAGTTGTTAAGTGAGTTCAGAGTGGTTTCAGGAAGCTGTTTATTGCAATGTTTGTGAAAGCACTTCTGGCAGTCTAACCACAAGGATTTTTTTAAAGAAATTCTAGTTAATTAAAAAATCAAACATAGTTAATTATTGTTCGTAACTGAGCAGCAGGAGGTCAGTAATGGAGTATACAATAATGTCATCCTCAGAGTAAAAACTAACAAGTGCAAGTGCTGTGACAGAGGTGTAGCTTTTGTAGTTCAGGGATTGCATTTTATAGCAAATTAACTTCCGTGTTCCTCTTTGCTTCATAAGATCCTGCAATGGGATACGAACTTTTTTTTTTTAAATGTATTTTTTTGTGAGATGAATACTCTCATGTGTGATATGCTGGGTGTAAAAATAAATTTGCCAATGAGCATCTTAGTACTTTTTCAAAGCAGGACACTAAAAGGTGCGTGTGAAACCTATGTGTGGTCTGGAGGTGCTGAAATAGCTGTGCCCAAGCTGAGAATAAACCAAGAGTGAGTAGGCAGCTTTTTGAAAGTCCTTTTGTGGTTGGCTGTTTTACTTCACACTACAGCTTTCTCTTTGTAATAAAAAATTACCCCCAAAAAGCATTTTCAGTAAGCTCTAGAGGACCATGGCATTAACAGGGGGTATGACAGACACTGCTCTGGGACCTAAAGCCACAGTGCACCTGAATGTGACAGCAAGGGATTCACAAAAGCTTTAGGAGGGAAAAAAAGACAAACCCAAAGCAATTTCCATTTCTTGCTCCACACAGCCTCTGAAGTACCTTCTCCTGGTGCTACTCTGAGTCTTGGTAACTAAAAGATTTTTTTTTACTCCAGGATAACAGAATCATAGAATCGCTAAGGTTGGAAAAGACCTCTGAGATCGATGAGTCCAACCTGCCGGCTCCACCTTTCAGCCGTGCCCCTAAGCACCACATGGACATATTTTCTGAATGCTTCCAGGGATGGTAGTTCCAGCACTTCCCTGCACGGCCTGCTCCAATGCCTGACCGCTCCTTCAGGCAGCTGAGAGGGAAAGGTCCCTCCTGAGACTCCTTTTCTACAGGCTGAGCCCCCCAGCTCCCCCAGCTGTTGCTCATCAGCTTTGATGAGGAGCTCCACTGCGCGTCTCTGGTCACGCTGCAGCAGCTCCATGTCCTTGTTGCGAGAGGTGCGGAACTGGACACCGGGCTGGAGTGCAGCCCCATCACTCCATTTCCCCCAGCCACCGCTGACCCTTTCGCTCTGCCCGCCCTCGCCGCGGCTGCTCCTCGGAGCTCGGAGGCCGAGTTTGGGGACGGTTCGCCGGGGAGCGGCCACTGCCAGAGACCTGGGGCGGACAGGTGGCTCCTCCATTGCTTAACTTCGGCTGGCAAAACGCCCTGGAAAGAGTCAGTGTCTCGCAGCCCTTTCACGGCATCTCCCCCACACGTGGGGGGCGTTTGTGCTGCTGCCCCGGGCAGTGCCCGGCGCTGTGAGGGGGGCTCCGGGACATGCTCGGGGCTGTGAGGGACCCACGGCCGCGGGCTCCAGGCGGTGTCCGGCGCTGTGAGGGGGGCTCCGGGACATGCTCGGTGCTGTGAGGGACCCACGGCCGCGAGGTCCCAGCGGTGCCCGGCTCTGTGAGGGCGCCGCGGGCTCGGTTCGGGGCCGTAACCAGGCGGAGCTCCCGGACATGGGAGGGCTGCGAGCACGCAGGTGGGTGTGGGACGCTGGCCAAGGGCACTTCACTCCTGCCTTCGGCTGTTGGGGCTAAACGTCAGTGTTACGATAATATTACTGTAATATTGTTTGTGGGGCCTATGCAAAGCAGACTTTGCCAGTTTGTAAAAGCTCAGGCTTTCTTGGCAGTAATGCTGAACAGTTCTCAGGTGTCCACGGACAGGCTCACCCTGTGAGGTCACCCTGTGAGCCTGTTGTGTGACAGAAGGTGCTTTTTATTAAATTCATTTTCCAAACTTGAGTAAAGCATCCATTAAAATGGATGAATACTTTTCTGAGACTTACAGCCATTGTGGGTCTCATGTGTAATTAAACCAGTGTGTTTGCAGCCCGTGTGTCAGATTTTCTTCCATTTTTTAAGATCATCTAGGACAGCAATGTGCTGGAAATTTCTCTTCAGGAGGTTCTTTTTCTGCCTCCTTTTTGGGGGTGGTGTTTCGATTTTTTTAGAAAAAGCTCACCTGGTGTGAGGTAGGAAAAAGTGCTTACCAGATGTTGGGTCTTGGGCTCCATCCTGCACTTGCCAATCGCTACATGAGGGATGTCAGCTGAGTCAAGTACACAGGACACTTACGTGGTATTTTATCTTAAAGGATTGACTTAAATGTGCATTTAGGACCTAGCTGCTATTCAGGCATTTAATTCTGTATTTAGATGTTTCAATAAAAACTACCTCAATCTGTGCTCTGCTGAAAAGAGCTGTTTGGAATATTTTTATAAAAAAAAAAAAAAAGCCCTAGAGTTTGTTTGTAAATTTCTTTGTTTGTTGCCTATGAAATTGTCAAGATTCAGGCAAGCTAAGTTTTATAAATTCTTGAGCATTCTCATAGTCCTACCATAAGATATTTTTCTTCTTTTTTATTAGTATAGTTTCTTCGCTAAGAAATGGGAAGCTACAAAGCTAAAACTTGAGATTAAAATGTAAATTAGATTATTTTAGAAAGCCTAAGTTGCTCTCTGCACTGGAACCAGTGCCAAGATAAAACAGAAATTTGTCTAATTTCAATGTTTCTACTTGACTTTGATGCAAATTTTGTGCTTTAAAGGTTTTCTTTTCAATAGGTATATGAAATATGTTGAAAAATCTTATTATATAAACAATTAAAAGTCAGACTGGTGTGGAACGTGGGCAATAGTAGTGATTCAAGAAAAGAATTGTCGCAATATAGCAATTTTCTGGTAAATTCATCATGTTTTTATGTTCCTGCCCAGCTATTAACTTTCCTGCTTCTATCCATATTACTGATAGTAGACCAAGAGCTAGGTGACTGCTTGCATGGAGTATGTACTATGCCCAGATGAGCTGTAGTCTTAAATGAAAAATTACAATATCAGACTGAGTAGCTTAGCAGAGTAAAAATGGCAAACTCAGCAAGTAATTTGCCACAAAGAAATCACTGAAGCAGTTTCAGAATAAAAATATTCTGAAAAATCACTGTGAAGGCAGAAGAGGGCTTTTTCAGGTACTGCTTTGGGTTGGTTCTAGGAAATTTGAGCTGCTGTGTGAAATATGTAGGTTTTTGGTTTTTTGTTTTTAAATTGAGTTTCAAACTTAGACTGACTCTGAGTCTGGCATTTGGCAGGTCAGGGATTTTGATAGAGGGACCCAGATTACATGGAGTATTTTATTAACTCTTTAGACTGGAGTCGCTCGCTCTCACCTTCTTTAGTCATTGATGTTTGCAAAGCACACTTGAGAAGTCGCTTTCTCTTTAACATTTGTAAGCATTTCACAAGCAAATGTTATATGATGAAGGAAGTGCAGGAAAGAGGCTGTGTAGCAGCACAAACCTAGCGGGGGAGAGTAGTACCAGTGACTGGGATTGTTACTGAAATTTCTACTTGTGACTCTTGTTTGCAGTGAGCAGTAGCTCAGCCTAGACCAGAGGGCTTGCAGCAGAAGGAAACAAGCATTTGCCTGCCCACACGGCTTCCCTTGGGAGGTGCTGGCACACAGGCACAGCTGAGCTGTGGCCATGGCTCGCGGGTGCATGGGCTCGGAGTGCATGGGGTATGTGGGAAGAGCCCCGGGCTGGGAAGAGGGGTCTGCTGGAAGCCCTGTGTCTGATGTGTTTTACATACCTGACTGGTACCAGAGCACGGTGGCTCAGTGGTTTTGTGTTATTCACAGACAACTTCACCCATTTGAGGTTTGGGACTTTGTTTGGTGGGATGAGCTGCCTCTCATGAACTTGCTTGCTCCCAAAGGAAACACATTCCCTTTACTCCCAAAGCTTTGACTTTCATCCCATGTGCTTTTTGGTTGATTAATCATCAATGAGTGATTGCTAGGGTGGCTTTTACATTTGTTAATTTAGTTTAAACTCACTACATGGGATTGGTCTGAGCATTTGTTCCATTGTGATGCCATATACCTATTTTTTTCTCCTTGCAGTTTTGTGGGATTTCTAATAGATTAACTTCTCTTTCTCTTGCAAAAAGGCTGAAATGCTGTTGGGGATGGAATCAGTGATGTATCTGTCTCTCCGCCTTACTACAACCTCCCCCTCCCCTCTGCAGGCTGCCCTGCCAGAGCCCCTCCTCTGTCAGGAAGAAGGGAGTTGAAATAGTGAGCTCCTGCTTTGTGAAGGAAATTTTCTTTCAGTGTCTTGCTCAGAGGTGCCTTTGAGAGCAGAACTGATGTGTTTTTGTTAACTTCTGGTCTGAGGAGGTGATTTCAATGGCCACAGGGTTGCTCACCATCGTTTTACTCTGTGCTGTTGTGGCTGGAACTTCAGGTAGTAAGTAGAAGAAATTTTTCCTCTGCTAAGATTGATCTCTCTCAATGCAGAATACTTCTACTAAGAAATGTTCTCACTGGTAAAACCTCAGAGGATTATGTTACGGCTTGTAGGTTTGTAGTAATTCTTGCAGCAGCTTTGTCTGGATTTTTAGTGTAGTGTAGCAGTTTGCTTTACTGAGCTTTTTGAGTTGTACTGGGCAGGTGGGAGAGCATCCTCCTTGGAGAGGATGCATTAAATAGTGCATCTTCCTTCAGCATTCTGGGGAAAGCAACAGAAATAGTGAGATTGTCAGTCTGTATACTTGATAGAAAAACTCTCATGGATTTATTTATTTGTTTTGAGGACCCTGCTTTGATTTCAGTAATTTCACTGACGTTCAGAAGTAACAGGTCTGTGTTGAGCTGCACACAAATTTGCAGCGCTTTTCTGTTCTGTTACCTGTCATTGCAGGATCCTCAGAGAGATTAAGTTATGGAGCTTCCTGTTTTGCAGAATGTGTAGGTGAGTAAAACAAGATGAAGAAAGAGGAATTTGAAAACTTGCACAGGGATATTTTGTTCTGAGAAGAATGATACTTATCAGCATTCACGGAAGTAGCAGAGAGGTTCCACCAAGGTTTACCAGGCCCACACCTGCCTGAAGTTTGCATTGTGTGAACTCTGAAAAACTCCTAAGCATTAGAGCTGAGCAAAGGACTAAACCACTGTGGGACTAAGCCCAGCCACAGGCATGAAGATCAGATCTATTTAATGTTGCTGTGGTGAAGGTCCTGCTCTGCTGCTCTCTGAAAGGTGTCGAAAGAGCATCGTGCTGTAAATGCATTATGTTTCTGCTCTGCCCTTGGAAATTAAATTCATGCCTTGAAGAAAATTGTGAGATTATGTGCTTGGGAGAGGGGAAGTCTTTTCATCCACCCTACAGGAGCTATGGCTGGCACACAGGGTGTTTTCAGAAACCCAGTTCTTTCAATTGAAAGTCCAAGTGGGAAGGGAACAATCTGAATATCCATCCCTTTACTTAGCTGATTTCTGTGGCTGAAAGATTAAAAGATAGAAAAAAAAATAGAAGGGGAAGTTTAAAAAACACCTCCTTTTTTTGTTTATTTCCTAGGACTCAGTGCATCATACTTCCCCAAAAGAGCTAGATACAGCTACAGGTATTCAGCAGTCACCAACACATTCCTGCAGGGAAATAGTTACAAAAGCAGTGGCATCTCTCTGGAGAGCACAGTGATCATTGAAGTATTGGGGAATTGCCAGATGGTTTTGAAAGTAAGTATTGTCATAATTGTTTGAATGATTGAGATGAGCTGATGTGGAATCTTATTTTTCTTTGGGATTATTGCTACATTTCAAACATTTGTTTTTCTTGTAATTAAAAGCTAGTTCAATTCTGGATCTCATAATTAGAGTTGGAGTATTGCTTTGATGCACCACAACTTGAAATTAGGTATTTGCCAGTTTTAAAAGGCAGATTAAGCAAATAATTGTTTTCTTTTTTAAGTGACACAACAGTTTCATGTTGTTTTTTTTTTTTTTTTACGAAGTGCAGAACTGGAGGTAAAGCCAGTCCTTGAAAGGAACTTGGTTTACTTTAAAGCACTTTCATATCTGTAGTAATAATTTTAAAATAGCAAGAATTTGAGAACTTGAGAATCTTGTATGTTGTGCTGGATTGGTGCCATTCCTAGCTCAGTGTAAAGTTCAGTCTTGTAGCACTCCATTCATCACAACAGGAGATCTGTCTCTCAGTGACAAGAGCAACAGGGCAGTTTCAAACTGCAGAGCTTCTCCTAGGGTTAGCCTGTGGTAGGCCAGGTGGAGAACTACAGTGCTTTAGAACTACAGGGCAGCAAGGAAAATCGGTTCTCAGCTGTCTGGATTTTCCTTGAGGTTAACAGAGGGGATAATTCACTGCTTTTTCTGGGGGTTGACATGTGTCTACTAAATACACACACCGGAGGCCAACAAAGAAGAGCACAGTTATCCCTGTCCTAGCACATGGATAAAAATTTACTGGTTAGTAATTTGATGGTCAAAGGGATATAACAGTGCTGTATAAAATGTGTTTAATAGTGAATGAAACTTTTTCATAGAAGAACTTTCTGGAAACTACCTCAGATATTCCACCTGAAGATAGGGCAAATGCAGTTCTATTGCAACACTGAACCTTTGTTCACAGTCTGTGATGTTTGGTGTGGATATCCCGACGTGATAAACCCACAAGTTCCTCTTGACAGTGAAATATATTGCCTATAATCTTTGCTCCTAGGTGCAAGATGTAAAGATTAAGAAAAGTTTTGCATCCAGAGAGGAGTCTCTGATGGAAATGGACAGTCTAAGGTAGAAAACCTTCTAATTGGTCTGGTTTTTGGGTTTTTTTGAAACTATATGGCTTAGCAGCAGCTTGACTGGACACTGTTCACTCTGCTTCATACTCTGCTTAGTTTTAGGGGTTTGTTTGGTGGTTTTTTTGGGGTTTTCTTTTGTTGTGGGTTTTGTTTTTTGGGGTTTTTTTTTGGTTTTTTTTTTTTTTGGTTTTTTTTTTAAGATGAGGATCCAGATACGAGCACCATAAGCAAAAATGAGAGAATAAGAGGCATTTGGTTCAAACAGGTTTTTCTTCAGCATAACTTTCATCTCTTTGTATGTAAAACCATTTGGATGGTAGACAGTTCAAATTATTTTGAGTACAAATCACCAGGCCTCTAGCAGCACGTGTGGATCACAGCTCTTAGAGCTGCAGATGTTACTTCTACAGACTCTAGAGTATTGCAGTACATTTCAGAAATTCTTGGTTTAGAAGATTATCATAAGGCAAAACATGGTTTTTTAATTCCAAGGTATTTATAGTTCATTTATTTGTCCAATGATTGAGATTTTCTTTTCTGTTTTTGAGTTTAGTAGCTCATTCATAACATATGTCAGTGTTTCTCATTGACTTGCCAAGGTATAGTCCCTAGCGTAGATGGCTATACAAAAAGATCTCCTCAAACTGTGGAAGTCTGGCATTTTCCCAGAGAGCTGATGCTTCTTGTGTCATCAAAAAAAAAGCAGTTCTGTTGTCTGATTAAGCTCAGCCTTGTAATGTTCCTCTTTGTCCAGCCACTTGGATTCTCAGCCTTTAAACAACACTGAGAGCTGAGGTAATTGACTCAATTCAAAGGGTCAAAAAGAGCAAGCCTGGGGTAAATGCATTGCTTTTTATATTCATCAGCAAGAACTTTGTGTTCTCTCTATGGGCAGTGGTATCAGAGCTCAAATGAGTGTACAGGCACATCTTCTGCAAAGTTATTTGCAAGATTTTCATAGCAGTAAGAGCAGTTGTGTATTGTTCTTTGTAGAGAAGCCAAAAAAGAGAGGTAGCAAAGAAAGCATTCAGTGAAGCTTGGCTATTCAGAATAATTATTCAGACAAGTGAGACTTATTAGCATTTGCCTCAGCCTATTGTGAATATACAGTAGTCTAGCTTGTCCTCTGAACATGCATGTAATTTCCACAGATAGTAGCAAAAACAGGCTCAGTTGCCTGGGAGTTCAGAAACCCTTATCTTATATGCCCAGTCTCTTCTGGAAGGACTTTATCAAGATGTTGTGTATTAAAGTTCTGTCTCTTACTTTGTGACTGACTGACTAGATTAATAGTTAGTGCCTCAGTTAATGTGCAGATGGACTGTCTAGCTCCCTGTGTGGGAGCTGACCACTGGGCTACAATAAAATTCTTCCTTTGGATGGTTTGTTTTTCTCCATTTAGAGGGAAAATATATGATTAAAGTATGTTACTTTAGGAGTGAAAATCAATGTTAAAAAGTGATCCCTTGGAAAGGTAGAAAACACTGTACTCTCAATCTAGGATAGTAAAAGCCATCAGGAAGTGTACTAACAGCAGAGATTGGGGAATAAGTTTGGAATAGAGCCTGAGTATTCACACCTAGCAGAGCAGGAAGATATGGGTTAACTGGGAAGCAATTGTTCTTGTGTGCATCACAGCTGAAGAGGCATGGTGCAGTTACTTTGCAATTCAGACATGCCTACCAAAGCTAAAGGCACCCTGAATAATAAAATGGAATTTCTCTCTTAATTACACAATAATCATTGCCGTTAAGTACATTTACTCGTAAATAATTTGCCAGGACTGCTTTTATTAAGTGTTGCAGTTATGTTGAGGATGCTGTAATTATCTTGAGCAGATTTGTTTTTAGGGTTTCACAGGGTTTTTTTAAGGACTCCTTGGGTTAGGCTGAGTTTATGAAGAATAGAGGCTCGCTGTAAAGAACAGAGATACAGAGTGAGACAGATCCGTTGTGGAAGAACAGCTCTGTTGAGGAAAATCTGAGTCTAATGTCGTAAATTGACTCGCACTCTTTGAAGCAAGAAATGATAAACCTTTTTATTGCAGGGAAATACTAGAACAGCATCCTCTTCATTTTTCTTTCCATGATGGGAAAGTTCTGAAGCTCTGTCCTGTGAGGAGTGAACAGACCTGGGCACTGAACATCAAGCGAGGTATTCTCAGTATCCTGCAGACAGCACCAGAACTCCCTGCTGCTGCTGTTGTTAAGGAGGTGAGACTGTCAGTCATGCTCTGAGGTGACTCCTAGCTCTTGTACATGTTAAGTCTATTCCACTTGTAAATAAATATAGAGTTTTGCTACTTGGTTCAGCAGACAGTGGCAGTCATCTGATTGTTTCTTGTAGTGAATGTTCTAAAATTATCTCAGGCTACTGCTGCGTGTCAGTGCTTAAAGAGATGTTCTGCAGTAGGGCTTGGCACACCCATACGTAATTGAAGCTACTCTGCCTAGTAATACTCTTCTGAATTAATGCTTCCCTGCACGCCACAAAATTTTAAATGGAAAAGCATATGTCTGTACTTATCTGATTCAGAATAACACAGTGAAATTAAACAAACCAATAGAGCCTAGCTACTATAAACTTGACCAAGGTTTTTAAAATTATTTGCCTTTTCATGGCTTTTGTGGCAAAACTGGTCTTCTGCAATGGAGAACTTAGATCTCTGTTGTTATTACAAAAAAAGTAATTATTAATACTAATTGCAATAACCTACACTATCTCCTTGTATTTTCTGTGTGCATGTGTGACTCAACAGTGTATATTTGTTACTAGGTGGATGTCCTGGGAGTATGCCCAACCAGGTATCAGCGAAAGGGTCCCATTCTTGTAAAGACAAGGGACTTAAACCTCTGCTCCCATCGCTCCTCTGGTTTGACTTCTGTGCAGTCTGTTGTTCTTCCTCATGTGTCAGTAAGTTTTGGAGAATGACACTGACTCTTGCTTTTGACTCATTTGAAGAGACTGTCTGCCCAAACTTGAGTTCTTAGCAAAGAAATGGTGAATATTATTTTCCGTGTAATGTCTGTTATTCACAGAATTTGTTTTAATGCAAATTTGCGTTGTAGTTGGTGAATGTTACAGTATAAATGCAAGAAGTTGTTAGGCACCTGGATGAAACTCTCATTAAAATATGTTACAGAGGTAAACTGAAAATAGTCTGCGGAAGGGAGGAATTGAGAGATGTAAGAAAAAATACATTAGAAAAAGAAAGTTATTATTTTTAGAAAACTTCCTAAAGATAGAAGATTTTCTAAATGCCAGACTTGAAACTTTCCAGTGTTGACAGAAAATACAGTCAATGTTTGTATCTTGTGCTATTTTTATTAGGTGAATATCACCTGTTTCTTGTATTGTAGTAGCTATTCATAATTTACCAGACTTTTGCTTTTTTTCTACTTTGCTGACCAAAAATACCTGATTAACTTTGAGGCTTTTTGAATTGAAATGAATTTACACCATTTGATGCTGACAGTTAATAGCAGTTTTTTCAGTGATGAAAAACTAGGCTAAAATAAGGAGTGGATTAACCTCCACAGGCTGGGCCGTGTCAGAGGTGTAGACAAGAGACTTCCCACTATCCCAGAACTGGAACCTTCTGTGACTTTGGGAGAGGAAAGATGGGGTAGGCTGACACAGGTCATCAAGAATATTCCTGAAGTATCTGTTTTTCTCAGTCTGAACAGCAGATTCTGTCCTCCCAGCTGGAATGTGTCCAGAGCATTAGGGATGGGGTCCTGGAGGAGGCCAAATGTACCGAGTCCGACCGCGTGACGCTGTTCCCTCAGCAGGGCAGTGGGGCAGAGACACGGACACGGTCCGCACTCAAACTCGTGCAAGTGGAAACAGAGACACTCCACAATAAAGGTGACTATGCTTCTGCTAAAGTAAATTTATTTCCTAGAAAAATATTGTGACTTTGTCTTGCCTGTGAGAACTCTTTGCACCCATGATTTTCACCTTTAGTTAAACTGCTTTAAAGTGGGTGTTTTTACAGGCTGGGCTGAGCTATCCCTTCTTAGGGGGCTTGGGCCTTACATAACAAAACTGTGTCGACCTCCAAAACTGCGTAGGTTTCCAAAAATGACAGTCTGTAACAGCTAGTTCCTCTTTATCTACTTTACATACTTCATGCCATTGTGTGCTGAGCATCAGCCTTCCCAGGTCTGTGGACAATTCCTATTTTTTATATAAATGGAGCCTAAATAATTGCAAGTCCTAATGGAGCTAAAGACATGCCATGTCTGAGAACTGTTTTAATTTTTGCTCCTTCTTTGCTCCATGTGTTTCTTCTTAGGAAAATAGTTTTACTGAAGTCAACAGGTGGCTTGCCTGAGGAATGATTTCAAAGTTGAACTATAAATGTTGACGAACATGTTTCTTGTCTGTTTCTAAATAGTTTTGTTCTTTTTTTAAAGGAACCCCCAAATTTCCAGGACACTTTGTTTGTAATTATGCCAATATAAGATAATAGGATTCTTCCTCAGGAAGAGGTTCAGAGCCAAGCCATTTATTTTAATTTGCACCTAGATCTTCTGTTCACTTTTTGAGTAGTTGAAGTATGGGACTAGTGATTAAATGACATTGGAAAAGGTAATGAATGTAAAGTAGCAGGGCCATACTAACAGATGGATGGGTGAAAAATAGGGCTTTTTTTATGTGTGTCTTTGTCTTGTTTCTTTGACTCTGTCTTTTGTGTCACACATGTCTTTATTCTGTTGTGTTCTTAAATTCAAGCTGACTGCACTTATATTAATAGTCATACAGGGAGAAATAAAGACTCAGAGAGAAACTTTCCCCTTGCATATAGGGTTAATGATTGCAAATGGCCACCAACCACCAGAGATGTTATTTTTCCTTTATTTTCCTTATTCCAGGGGACTCTGAGGATCTGTATGTGACCAGCATTCTCTATGAAAGGGAGGTGACTAACAGGGAGGTCACTGGTGCAAAAATGACTGAGCTGGTGTGGAAGCTTTGCTTAGCACACAGTGCTAGTTATGAGGTAAGCTGTACAGCCTCTGCTTCCTTGGGAAGCTCTTTGTGGGCTGAGAATTCTCCCACACAGAGAAGAGGTGACCAGGAGAGCAGCAATTTTGAAATACTGAAGCCTTTCATTGTTTTGGACATTTTTAAATGTAGAATTAGAAAAGAGAAAATTCTTTGAAATGTCATTTTCTTAGATAAGCAGTACATCACACTGAGGAGTTAAAACATCCTGTAGCCCCCTGAATATTAGGCAAAAGCAATTTTGAACTATATTCTAAGTTAATCTGAAAGAAAATGTCCCAAATTTTTGTTTTGCTGTGAAAAAACAAAAGCATATAAAATATCTGGTTTGAGTTGTCACTGGCAGTTTTGCTACTTTATAGTAAAACATGTCTTTTACAGCTTTAGTATGTAATACTACCCCTGGTAGTGCTGTTGTTTCCATGTTCATTGGAGTTCTGCTATCTTTATATTGCCTCATCCCCTCAAAACAGTTTGCACATGAAGCCCTTGCCTCTTGGTCTTGGCTGGTGGGTTCCTTGTCCTTCTGATGAACTCTAACAGCCGTCGTGTTTTCTGGAGATACTGCTTGGGTCCAGAGGGAATCTCTGCCCCCTAGACATTTTCATTGGTGAATGCTGCTGAGATAGGGTGGATCTTCTGGTCATGTGGAACAGGTAGTGGCTTAAGTAATTTTTATGATGACCATCATTCTAGGTGAGTGTGTCTGCCTGTCTCCTTAGCTCACTTGGGTGTTTTATTTTTTGTTGATACTGGCAGCAGCTGAATCAGCCAGGAATTGTCTCTGTTATCAAGAGCACCTATTGTGTACAATATAGAAGGATCAACAGATGATGGTGCTTAATCACTGTTCATATGAGATCAACTGGGGGCAAACAAAGGACACTTCATATCCCTTCATTATGCTTCAAATAGAGTGGTTCTTGCTAGTAGTGAAGCTCCTACAGAGAAAAATAAGGGAAAAAATGTAAACGTGAAAACAGAAGAAAAGTAATTTTTGATCAGGATATTACTAGAAAACAAGTATGGTCTAATGGGAGAGGCACTAAACAGGGCATTGGTGCCTCCATGAATTTGGCAGTGATGAGTTTAGTCAGCTCATTGCTGATATATTCCCTGTCCTCTGAGGTTCTTGTCAGATTGTTTGTACTTTGGAGCAAGGTTATTTCCTGTGCAGAGAGGCTGAGACCTCTCCTGTAAATGCACATAGGTACAGGTGATGTTAACAGAAAGCTTGAGACCCAGCGTGGAAGTCCCTCACCTTCCTTTGTTTAGATTAAGTCCCATGTCAAAGAACAGAAGCTCTTCCTGTCTTTCCCCTGAGCTGGACACAGATGCTGAGGGATGGAAGAGAGGCTTTATGGGGACTGGAGAAACGTGCAGTGCTGGATTGCAGCTCTGCAGTGATATCCTGGGTGTGTTCACCTTTCTCTTAGTGTCCCCTGTGATTCATGAGCACAGGTAGGTGTTCATGTTTTGTGTGTGAGACTTCAGGGCAAGGCACAGGGTGGAGCAGGATAAGTCACAGCTGCTGAAGCCAGCACCTTCAATCAGCTGTGACAAATTCCAGCCCCAGACCTTACTCCCAGGCTGTTAAATGGTCATAGTAGCTGACCTGGTATCACAACCTGACTAAAGCCTGGGCATGGGGCTGAGGAGAAAGTAGCAGGTGGCCTTTGTGAGTGTTGCAATATTTGGGATAGGCTTCTGTCTGAGTTATAAGCAGGTCTGCCTGAAACTCTCTTTTTGCTGCATGCTATGGAGACTGGGGCTGTGGAAGGCTAAGAGAGCCATACAATAATGGTTGGTGCTAATATAGAATAAGAGCAGACCTTCCTCATAGGGAAGGATAATGCTTGATTCCATGTGATTGTCAGTGTACAGCAGTATGAAATAGCATTTAGGCACAGACTAGAGGGTCACATACTGCCTGAAAAATGTTGAAGAAAGAAATTACTGCAGGAGACCTGAGCAACTTTATCTAAATCCTGCCTTCTGTGGAACACTCTTAATTCAATGTCTTTGAAAGAATGGTAGATCATTTTTCCCAGTGACAGTGGGATGTCACTTCTGCCTCCAGAAAGGCCTACTGACTTCATGTGTGGGAAATTTGTTTTTTAAATCACTAAGATTAGCACAAGTGGCTGCTGTCTGTGCCACTGCCTAAAGGAAAAGTGAATTATTCATCATGTGCCTGTCCCAGCAGAGAGTTTGATTGGTTGTCAACCATTTTCACTGTTTCAGGGTGTTCTTTCTGTGTGACCAGACATTTCAAAGAGAATCTTTATCATCCCTCATTTCAACCAATGAAATGTCCTTTGGGCCAAGAAAGAAGTTATGGGAATGCCCACAGTGTTGCTTGGGAGACAGCTGCACTGTTATGCATGTAGAGCTTGTTTGTCCCTTTATTGTTTGACTCTGAATGAGGTGAGATTATGCATTTCTTTCAGGACACAAGACCAAGAATAAATGGAAGGGAAACTCTCCAGCTCTGGGGAAAACAGTGAAGGGATGAGAAAATGGAGGTGGAGATGGTGTCATTTCCAAGGAAGCAAAGTTGTTGTTTAATTTTTTAATGCTATTATGAGACAAGATTGAATTTCAATGTGGATGTAGATTAGCTAATGGACCATTAAGTGAACAAGCTGCCTGCTGACAAAGAATGGAAAAGGGATGGGGAGATGGGACCCTCTCTTGAGAGAGGCTGAGAGAAGCCTGTCACACCACTTCTGCTGGGGCTGCATTTCCAGTGACTGGCTGGCTTTTGGTGCTTGGTCAGTAGCTCTGGTGAATGTGGCTGTGTATGCACTGAGCAAGGTGGGCAAGAGTATGTCAGATTTGCTTTGCCTTGTTCCTGGACCCCAGTCTGACCAAAAAAAAGTTTATTCTCAGGGCATGAGCTTTCATTTTTGGTTGGTTTTGATTTTTAGGGATTTTTTTCCTTGTAGGGCATTCTAATTGCTTGCTTCTACCTAGTTTCTTTTTTTTTTTTTTTTTTTTTTTTTTAATATGGCAGGTCTGCAGGTAGAAGGATAATCAAGCTTCTATGTAAAATAAAAGCCAGGCTTTCTTATGTTTCTTTCAGAGGTGGGAATAGGAGTCAGATTTGAATGCAGTTTGTTATTATGATACTACAAAGAGAAAAATTTGTAATGACAGCTCAATTTCAGTGCAGCCAACCTTAAAAAATGAAAACAGCCCACCTGGTTAGACAGTTCATTCTAAAGATTTATTATTAGAGAGTAAAAATAGCTGCTTCTCTGCAAAATTTTGCATGGAGTTATTAGATGAGAGCTTGTCTAGTCAGCAGGTATGAAGCAGAATGAAGTCAGTTTACAGTCTAAAATTGTATCACGTGAAAGTGCATCAGTCTGGCAGTTTTATCTTGACCTATGCTGCAGTTCCAGCTGATGGGCCACCTGGGCTCAGCAGCAGCTGCACACGCAGCTCCTTGGCAGGAGATCTGTGAGGATCCCCTGCCCCTCAGTAGATTGGCCTGTGGAAAAATGAACATAGCGCCCATGCTTTAGAAATGCTTTTAAAAAGATATTATTAGTCACTAGCTCCATAGTGTCCAGGCTTGGAATTTCTTTTTAAAATAGACCTCAGTGATAATGAGGGGATGGAATGGAATAGAAGGGAATGCATGTGGATCTATCTGAATTCTAGGTATGGAATTATAAATGTTAACAGAATGTTAATACATAAGTGGGGCATCACATATGAGAACTGGTTTTAATTTCATTAAATTCCATATTATTTCTAAGAATAATATCAATCCCAAAAGAATAAAACCATAAACTATATCTCTATTGGATCTGGCAAATTACTCCCTCAGCCTATCAGACAAAACAGTGAGAAATTACTCAGGCTTCTTACTGAAAGACAGCTTCTTGTTACTGAAAATGGCTTGGCAGTCTTAAATTAAAATTGAATGCTGGCACTGGGTTATTCCATGTTTTCATTGTTTTTGGGAGTAGCTCCTGGAAGGAAGGTCAGAAAGTCAAAGTAGGCCTGTCCCCAAACCTTTGGAAATGTGACTCAGTGAAATTAGACTTAGTATGATTTTTACGTGAAGAAGAATGTTTTCTTTGGAACCATAAATTTAGTCCTATGTCTAAGCCTTTCACATCTGAGGTGAATAAAGCATTGGAGTGAATCTGACATGGATGATGTTTAAAACTTACACATTATAAATTCACTTAACATGAACATACAAGATATTATATTGAACATTCTGCTAATTTTTCAAGTAATGAGATCTATCTTGTTTCTTGAACTTTGGATCAGGTCTCAGGGGAATACATCCGCATGCTATTTAGCATTTAAAATGCCAGGTAAAATAGCTGCTGTATGATGTAGCAACTCCTCTTAGTGAGAGAGAACAGCTCTTCTGCCTCTATGTTTCCAGCTAGTCCTCTACCTGCAGAGGTGAGGGCAGTTCTGCCTAGGCTTTTCCCCAGTAAGATGGGATAATTTCTCATGGCCCAAGGGTTCTCAAGTGAAACTTTTAAGTGTTGCCCAAAGCTCACTTAAATGATCTTTCACATAAACCTAAGATTAATATGCAGTTAGCTTGACCATTGTTTCATTTGTGTCAAAGCTATGTCAGCAGTTCTGGTCATAAATCAGGATCTTGCCATACAAAATCAGAGAAGATTGACAGTCTCTTCTGGATTGTAACCACACTGCTGCCTTTTGGTTTATTATTCATTTGTATGCCAGTGGTGTGTGTGGTGATCACTGAGGACTGTTGTCTGAGAGACTGACTGACATCCAAAGCAAAAGCCCTTCTCCATATGTGTTTGTAGTCTGGACAGAAAAGCAAATGAGGAAGGAATGTAAGGACACAGGGAAGAAAGGAGGGTTCAGTCTCAGGTAGATCAATGGCAATGCCAGCATAACCTCTTGTGCTCTGTTCTCTTAAGCTGGTTTCTGCACAGCAGGAATATTTCAATTGTGGTTGTGCACTTACAGACTGCAGACCTTTTCATGACTCTCGTGTTTGAGCTTCGACACCTTTCTCTTGAGGCCTTAAGAGCACTATGGCAAAGATCATCATTTAAGTGCAGAGACAATTGGTAAGTCTCCTTTAGTAATTGCAGTCGAAAATATACAGCAAAGAAATATTTTGCAAATATTTAAGTGTTTTAAATCTGTGCCCAAATGTTTGATTTAAATTTGGAGCATTTTAAAGGAATAATTTGTATTGCAGATCTTGTTTCTATAATAGGATGACAGTCTCTCCTCACTGAATGAATGTTATGTACAAAATAGACTTACCTATTCCCACAGCCAGATTTCCTGTTTCCAAAGCAATGTGAATGGGAAACCTGAGTCACGGCTTGGATGGAAATCGGTTCTGCTGCTTTTAAGCTTATGTTGCCATTTGTTATGAAAAAGCTGACCTGGATCTGTACCTTTAATGCCCTTAATAGTTGTGGTGCAGAGGAGACAGATGTTGGGCTGGAAGTATGGATGTGGTGGAGCTGCATCTTTCAGTAGCAGCTCGATCTCAGGAAGGTTTATGTCAATTGTAGAACTGTGGCTTTGAAGATCAAGACCCTATTTCTCTGCAGTCAGGAATAGTTCTGATCCAATGGTTTGAGACTTACCAGAAATACTAATCCAGTATTATTAAAATCAGTACATTTTTCTCCCTTCATAAAATTGAAAATAATGAAACAATTATTTTATGTGGTTTCAGTACAAAATGTCATCAGCCTATTTGAAATTAATGCTAAGGTTTGTGTTTGCAACACTATCTTTACTTGATGCAAAAGGGGCATATTTTGTTTTGGGTTAGGTTTATTTTCATCCTTTGATAAATAGTCATGCTAATATTCTTCAGTATTAGATAGTAATTAAACTACTCTGGCTCTTTTATATTACATTTAGACTAATTTTACTTGGACATGGTTATTAAATTTAGGAGTGAAAGAGAATCCCATGCAGATTACACTCTGATATTTTTACTCCATCTAGTTTAACTGCTTTCTAGTTAATACAAAAGTGTCCTTCCATCAGTATAGGAGGCAGGTACAGAATATTTACAGAGGGACTCTTAAGACCTGAAATACGTATTGTCTGTCATGCTGATGTAAGCTTTCCTCTTAGATAAGGTCTAAGAAAGCTCAGGAAATAAAAGCTAGTCAATTCAGTTTTAATATTTTAATTTGTTACTGCTGTTACAGGTGAAATGAAAGGTAAAAACCACCTTATTAAAAAGTCAGTGCTTTAAGGTACCTCAGTCTTTAGAAGTCAAACCTGGGATATGATGTGGCTCAATTCTCAGAGAAAGCAACCGAATATTTTCTTGAAAATCTGATTAGGGACTATTCTTGATGTGGCTCAATTCTCAGAGAAAGCAACCGAATATTTTCTTGAAAATCTGGTTAGGGACTATTCTTGAAACACCAATTCACTTCCATTGCATCCTGTCTGAAACATATTTCTATAAGGCCACTATACCAGAAGATAATATTGGTTTCTGTGGAATCTGGAATTTGCTAAGCCACTGGACTTTTATTTACTTTGAAAGAAGCCCAGTCTCAATGGACTTGTTATGTGATTCTTAAGTATTTTGGTCATTTTAGGGTTTTTTTTGTACTTTTTTCTTGTGTTACAGGCAACCATTAATAGATGCTCTCCCATCTTGTGCCACAGAGGCATGTGTTGTCCTAATGACAGACCTCATAGCTTCTGAAGAAGTTGAGGAAGACAAAGTAGAATATTTCTTCTGGTCATTAGCATTCATTCCTAATCCCACCTCGGGCATGATTGAATCTCTTGCTGTGAGTGGATGTTGTTTTTTCTTTTTTAATTTGTAGTGAATCTAGGTGGCTCATAAGTTTTATGTTTTACAGTAGCAGTCTTTTTCACAGATTTATACAAAGCTTTGTCCAGGTAATTTTGTTGAGGTTGAATTTGAGTATGTAAATATTTTGATACATTGACTGTTGTGGCATACCACAGATTATAATTCTCATTGCTTTTCTGAAACACCTTGTTCTTTTCTGGTTGTTTACAGCCTTTGCTGAAGTCACCTAGAGCAAGCCAGAGCTGCTTTTTGGGAATAACTGCTCTTGTACATAGGTTTTGCTCAGCTCACAGCTCCTGTGGTGTTGTACCTGCTGTGCAGAATGTGATGAGGACTCTTGGGAAATTTTTGGGAGGAAACTGTACCATGCAAGATTCAGAACATCTCAGCAAGGTATTGGTTGTACAGAGACACATGAAATAGGGCTTTACTTTTCTGTTCCCTTTATGATATAGAACTTGGTGAAAATGGTATTCATTGGATTTCCAGAAGCTTAGTAAATGAATATGCCTTGCTAGGAATGAGCTGATAAAGTTTTGTAATACAACAAGTGGAACCTCTCGGTATGGGTGTTTTTGTGTGTGGAAATAAAGAAAAGCCTTGGATTTCCTGATGAAGCGGACTTCATATCATTGAACAATATGAAGAACACATATCTGTTGACAAATTATTATTTTAATGTAGTTATTGTGTCCAGAAATCTATGTTGAATCACTAAAATGTCAAAATATCTGTGGTCAAATGGGACAAAATATCAAAGTACTTGAAAAACCTTTCCAGTACATAAAATTTGTGACTTTTGCTTTTCTGTTGCAATGTAGGCTTTTAAAAAAATGTTTTTGTATTCCCCCAGGTCTAAGGCAGGTTCAATTTACAAGTTCCATATGGCATTAGAATAGAACTGTGGACCATATTTGTCTTGTCCTCCCAGTAAAGCCAGGGTATAGGTGGTACAATAGGGGCTGCAGTAAACTCCCCATATTACCAGTAATCATTTTAAACAGATGTTTGCGCAGAAAATGCTAGTGCCATGAAATTCAATGTACAGCTGCCAGCACTTGGAGAGCTTTCTGTTCTACCTTGCTGTGCATTTCCAGATGCAGCTGGTGTTGAAAGCCATTGGAAATGCAGGACTGGCAGCGGCATCGCTGGCTCCTGCTTTGAGCTCGTGTGCTGCCCTGAGGAGCCATCCCATGGAAATCCGCCTCGCTGCCGTCCAGGCCTTCCGACGCGTGCCCTGCTCAGCCAGGGTGAGTCATTTACTGTCACAGGTGACTGATGGCTTCCTGCCACTGCCACAGATTTGGGACTTGGAATAGTTACAAAACACACAAATGGATAAGGAAGAAGAGTAGGCATGTTCCAGCAGAGCCCCTCTGCTGTTGGAGGAGAGGATAGAACCGCCCAGATGAGCAATCCTATAAAGAGCTTTGCTGCAGTTGAGGTAACACATCCAGTGACTGAGGCGGTGTTTGGGACTTCTTAACTAGGCACTTCTGTTGTGTGCCTTCTGTCTGCAGGGGATATGACTGAGAACCCACAGGACTTGATTTTTACCACAGTCTGTTTCACTGTTTAATTCTCTAAAACATAAAGTATTAATGTAAGAAGCGTGTTGTGATTTGCAATACACTGCCATAGTTAGAACATTTTGTTAAGTGTTTAATGAAAGAAAGTTCAAGACTTCTTTATCTCTAATACCTTGATAGAAGAATGGCAAAGCGAGGAGTGCTGGCCTGGGTAAAGCTGACAGTCTGCTCCAGAAGAATAAGAAGCTCCATGTGAACTTGCACTTGGAGAAGCACCTTTCTATGGCTTTTTAAAATTTAAAAATTCAGCATGGATTGGTGTGATTCCCTTGATCTGAAGTTATGAAGCTTGGCATTGCTCATTGGACATATTCAAAGTATCAAGTCTGTATGTTGTCATATACCCCATCTAGGGGTATATGTCTAGCAAATGAACTGCTGAATTGGGTGGACTGAGGCTGTTAAATGCTAATAAAAATGTTTGTATTATCACTCACCAGTTTCTTAATTCCTGGCAGTTCACAAAACATGTTATCTTGGTTGATACAGGGGAAATATTGAACAGAATAAATTTGTTGCTGGCCTGCTCTTTGATTGAGACCAAAAGTAATGATCTTAATAGCTTATGTACAAAACCCTGGCCATTGTTGTCTGTGTATTGGCTGTTGCATATTAGAGATACAACAGACAGGTCTCTTTATATGGTGGAATAAAACCATCCTTAGCAGTTGTGCTGGCAGGGGAGGCTCTGTGTTGCAGAGTCCTGTATAGATTTGTCTGTATAGGATTCAAGGTCATAATGACAGTTTGTTCAGGAAATTTGTGGATCAGGTAGTATAGACAACGCGTACATACATTTGTATCCATGTTACACAAGGTGACTTTGTCAGGTATAAGGCAATAGCTATAAATATAGCAATAGCTCTTTGAGAATGAAAAACCCACCAGGACCTGAAAGTGCACGAGGTGTTCCAGGGGAGTGAATCGTAATTGTCTTTATCTTTTGTGTTTTTCTCTTAGAATGCTATATTAGTTCAGCTGTATCAAGCAACCGATGAAGATGTGGAAATAAGAATTGCTGCTTATTATATAGCAATGAAATGTCCACATGAAGATTTATTTAAACAAGTACAGAAAACTTTGCTGAAAGAGACATCCAGCCAAGGTCAGCCAAGCATCTCCTGAAGTTTTATATGTTCCTAATTGTTACTTCAATATGACATTTACTTTGCAGGTGTAATGGTACCAATCTATATAAATTTTTATTTAATCTCAATGCTTTGTAGATTGTTTCGAAGTAATTGTTTGTATGATTGTAACATTTTATATTGAAATTGTGATACCATTACTTTAGCAATAGTAAGAACTGACTTTTCATAGAATTAGTTCCTTCTACTGGCAGCATTTAATTCACTGAAGGCTCCTGAGAAGGATATATGGAAGAGCTTTGATGCTCAGTGCATTAGAAATACAAATTCATGACTGCAAATTGCATTTTGTAGAGAAAGAAGGAAGTGGCAGAAAAAAATGTTATGATATACTAAAATGGTTTCACCACATTCAGTGAAGGATACCTGTAGACTAATCCCTTGCATTTACATCTGTCGAGAAGAAGCAAACATGAGAAGGGTATCTGTAAGATTGTTTGCAGGCAGATGAAAGCAGGCTCTGTCTGCACTGTGTCTGGATCCTGGCCAGCTCTGCCTTGGAGCTGGTATCCATTTCCCAGGATATTATGTCCAGACCAGTGTGTCCTGCAGTGATTGTGAGTTCAGGCTCAGCATTGTGTTCACCTGCTGATGTGGCTTGTGCTTTGGAGGGCACTCATTCCTCTCTGTTCAGAGTTCAGACAGAGCATCCACCTCCAAAATCCTGTCAAGGTGTACCCTCGGTGACTCTTCCTGGTGACTCCATGTAGCAAATTTAATTTGTCTGATTTATGAAGGAGCTCTACAAGTCCATCCAAAATGTTCTGTGTTTCAAACAATTTAATGCAGTACTCATGAATATTCTTAATTTATTTTGTTTGTCTTTTGTTGATGTGACAGCTATATAATTTATATAATAAACTTTTGAATAATGAGTGCTTTTGAAGGCATAGGGCACGTGTTAGTTTTTAGTTCCACATTCAGGAAATGAAAATTGAAAAGAAGTTGTATTGTGAAAAATGCAGTTGCATCATTATTGAGTGTCTGTGCATTGAACTAGCACTGGAGCCTAATATCTTTTATCTTCAAGAGACAAAGAAGCCTCTATTCAGGAACCAGACTCCAGAACACATGGGAAATATTTGCCCCCATGACACAGCACATACATGGCCAAACTGGGACTCCACAGTGTCATGCAGAATTACTAATTACTAATCACAATTGTTTAGTTGTATGTGCCCTTTTTTTTTATTTAAGGTGCTGTTGCAGTAGGTGCATCAGACTGATTTTAATCATGCTGAAAATGAATGGATTCTGTTGTGGTCAGGGGAATGGCTTAGAATTAATGGTGGTATAAAAAAATTTTCCTTTATCTGTTTTTAAGACTCCTGTAATTTTTCTGGTTTCCACATGCTTTTCTTTGTTGAATTTTAGTGGGCTCCTTTGTTTGGAGTCATCTCTCTCAGCTCTTGGAGACAGATGACCCATTGAAGGAGCACCTTCGAGATTCTATTCCTGATGAAATCCTTAGCAAAGATTTTGACTGGGAGACATGGAAATATTCCTCATACTCTGATGTCACGTTTCACTCAGGTATGTGGAGTTGTAGAATTTAATACTTTGTAGCATATGCATTATTAACATCCCACATGGCTTTTCTGACCCTTTACATATTGCTCCAGAGAACTTTGATTTTTATGATTTAATGCTATCCAAATATGCAAATGTAAGCTTGATTCTGCTTTGACCTTAATTGGGCATATGAAATGTATTTCCAGCAAACCAGATATGATACACCTTTGCCCCTTATGAGAGAGGAGACTAGGAACCAATGAACACTTAAGATTATTTTTGTGAACATCAACTTCCTTTGCAGCAGCAGGGGACTGGGATGTTTTTTCTTCTCCTGATCCATGTGCTGTCCTTGATATAAGGAAAGTTTCTTCCTGTTTTACTATCTGTTCATTTATTTTCAGTGAAAACTCTAGATGATGTTTTTCAGATTACATTTTGATTTTCTCTCCATTTCCTCCAGTGCATTTATATATCTTATGTATTATAAACACTTTCCTTTCGATGTTAGTGAGATAATACCCAGTAATATCCAGTAAATACGGAATTCCAGTCAATGGAAGTTACTTACAGTAATGACTTTGCTGTATTAAAAAGTTAAATAGTTTCACCTATTGACAATGTTTCATTCACCATCTTCTTATTGAGTGGAGTAACAGTTTTCCAAAGAATTATGAATTTTGCAAAATATATGTGAACAGCTGATCTCCAGCTGACAGACATCTGTTTTCCATTGCAGCTGGTGCCGGTGCAAACATGGAAGCATCAGTGGTCTTTTCTCCTATATCTTTTCTACCACGATCAATCATGACAAATTTGACTGTTCACTTCATGGGACAGGCTATAAATCTCCTGGAGGCAAGTTTACGGATTTTTTAATTGTGGGAGTTTTTTATCCCCCTCCTCAAGTGACATTTGATACATTGAAGTACAAAGCATTTTCTGTTTTCCTGTAGCAGTTCCTTTAGCAAAATGTGCTTTTCACTGCTGTAGCAGAGTTGCCTCAGACTGGGGAGTCCTTTGTGTAATGAGCTTAGTCAGAATAAAAGCACTGTCGCTCTGCTAGTGCCATGCACTAGGAAAGTGACTTATACTCATCTCTTGTTGATTCAAATGAAACATTAAAGTCAGTGCTTCCTAGACACTGCTCTAGCTCCTGTTTAGGACAGTAAGATTCCTTTTCTTGATGTCTTGATCCATTGGAAAATGGATTGACTTGGGCACACTGTTGCTTTAATACAAAGACAGACTCATTTGTACTTAGCTGAAGTCACTGTTCTAGTGTCATTTACCTTCCAGTACTTGGCACATTTCAATGACCTGCCTGTGACCTCATCATCTTTACCTGCTTGCCAGGTAACAATGTGCACAAGAAAGAACGAAAGTATTTAATGTAGCCTTCAGATCTCAAGTTTAAGTTTGCACGAAAACAAAATTTTTTTTTCAGTGCCTCATACCCTGGATTTATTAGTAATAATTACTAAATAATAGTAATAGTGTGTTAGTAATTCTGTTTTAAGTAAACTTCCAAACAGAATCTTATTCCAGAGCATGAAAAGGATGTGTTAGTGTTTTCCAGCCAAAATACAGTTTTTGACATGCCAAAATAGCAGTATCCCCTTTTGGCCCATCATGGTGTAAATGGACCTCAGTAACTGAAGGAAAAAGGATTTTTGTTTTGGACTGAGCTTTACGTATCTAATTGTTTTGGGAAGATTTAGTACTGGAATATTCAGTATTGAATGCTGAAGAAGGTAGAATGCTAAACTTTGTAGACTACTGTGATTTTGCTTGGCAAATTTTCTGTGTTGCTTATATCTGGTTCAATATTTGATTTTCTGCTTTAGAACTGGCCATGGCCTATACATGTCACTGTTAGGCTTTTCACTGCTGCATGTTTTTCACTAGGTTGGTGTACGAGCGGAGAATGCTGAAACGCTCATAGAGAAGGGTTTTGGGCCAAAATCTTCTATTTTCAGTGACTATTTTTTTGGAAACACTGATGAAGCAAGCCACAAGTCAGAAACTCCAGTAGAAACAGCAGAGAAAGTCAAGCAGAGGAACCCGACTTTGAAGCGATATAGCCCCACTGATCATCTTGTGAGCAAGTCCGGCAAGCCAAAGCTGAGAAAAACAAACCAAAATTGTCTTGGGAGAAAATACAGTAAGATGAATGAGCTAGTCAAAAAGGTAACTGAATCTGTAGATCTTGGAAAAATGAATGACATTTCCCAGTCAAACACAGGGCCCCATGTCACACTGGACAAGTGCTCTGGATTACTGTGACTCCCTTGCATAAAGCACACGTAACTCGTTCTGCTCACTTGGGGAGAATTTAACAGCTGCAGAAAATATGGAGCAGCAAAGAGCCAGATCTTTAGGGTTTTTTCAGATTATTTTATTGTCTTAAAACAATGACACTCAACCATGGGATTATGTTGCCTGTGTTTTGGGCTTCCTCTCATTATTTTGAGCTCTGGTCCCTTTATGCTGATGTCCTTTTGTCAATTGACTGCTGTGACACTGTAAACAGCTGCTTGATGTTGAGTTCCTGAGTCCTGTTGTTTGCAATCTGACTTCCCAGTTTGATGTCAAATGTTACATTGATGCTTTGTGAATTTACTCATTTTTGGAGAGAGCTATGTTTTATGTACGCAACAGGAAAGCTCTGAGAATTTACTTCAGTTGTTGATGTATTAGCTGGAAAAATCAGGGACTGTGATTAATTTAGTTTGTCTTAGATCATCTCTCTTCTTGGACTCATCTTCTTAGGGTTTCTTCTTAGAGATTAAGCTCATGATCATGTTTTGTTGCTGTGGTATCAATTGTAAGGACAGAAAATGTGAAATTTTTACTTCCTAGCAGTTTATTTAGCAACTAAGGCATCCCTAATGTTGTTTTAAGATTGTATTTTTTCAAAGCTTCATCTGTTTGTGGATATGTATTGTAATACTTCTCCTTTGGCTGTCATGTTAGGACTGGACATGACCAGTGTTTATAGTGGCAACCAGCTTGTGTGCTGTGGAGCTCAAGTGTAGCTGGAAAGAACATCTACTAATCCAGGGTCTTAAGTGGTCTCCAAAGTACTTGTAAAAGGAAGGTTTAATGTTTCTTTACTAATAGCATAGCCTGCATTGAGGAATTGTTTATTGTGAGTGTGAAAGAAAATTATAACACACTTTCTTTTTTTATCATGCCAGTTCACTGAGAGAACAGTAAAAAAGGAGGCGTTGAAATGTGAGCTAAGCGTGAAAATCTTTGGAAATGAACTTAGCTTCTTAGATTGTGAAGATTTAAGAAAACAAATGAAACATTATTCCTTAAATCTGGCTGAGTTGGCTGTCAAACTTCTGAAGGTAAAAGGAGCCTTTTTTCTATTTGAAAGTAAATATCTTGAGAAACTGCCTTCTGACAGATATGTTAAAGATACAAAATATTACTTGTTGTTTTTCTAAATTGAACTCTAGAAGACACCAGTGTGTATTTGGTTTAAACAGCATTCAGTACATGAGGCAAAGATTTGTTCTGCTAATGGTTCTTACTTCATGCTTCTCTCATTCAAATCCATCCATGCTTAAATGCAAATTCTTTTTTTAACTGGAGTAGGACTGGTGTCTGACTCGTGCCATGGCCATAGGCAGGCTTTGGGCTGCTTTCTTCTTTATGTCCCAGAGCAACTCAGGTAAAAACACAATAGACAGATGCAGTCAAAAGTTATATCTGGCAAATTTATTGAATGCTAACTCTATTATGCAAAATAATATCCTGGGTTTTGTTTGGGTTTTGTTCACCACAGGGGCAGGAGGTCCAGTTCAATAAAAGGATGAGCTTGGCCACTGAAGAGCTGCAGTTTCCAGCAATTTCAGGCTTTCCTGTTCAACTGGCAGTCAATGCCTCAGCAGCAATCAACATAAAAATCAAAGGAAGTGCTGATTTCAAACAACAGTCCAATTTCTTTCTAAATGGATATATCAAGCCAAGGTAGTAAATGCTGCAAATGTGTCCCTTTGACATGTCTCTAATGTAAAGTAGCAATTCCTGATGTGAAAGTTTTGTGTGAATGCCTATTAATTAATTAGGAGATTCCTGAAGAACAAAAGCAGTAATCATCCTTCTGTTGCTGAGTGGTTGCCATGGTGTGAGGGCAGCAGTGCTTTCATGTCCTGCCTGTCTGGTTTTGAACTCTTGCTGTGTTTTTCCAGTACTGGTTTAAGCTGACTATTCCTCTCTATCTCTAAATGAAACTCCTGATGATTTTTGGGAATGTTTTACATGTGACAAGTGGATTTTTCTTGGGATCAAATAATGCTGTTACAGGTTATGGATGCACAAACCAGTGGAGGATTTAACTGTGTTTCCTTACCTGGCTATTTTGGCTTTTGTACATACTGAATACATTACTAAACTTTGTTAAGTGCTGTACAGACGGGGAGAAATTTGCCTTGTGATAGTCAGTTCAAATTGCTTTCCCTTTCTTAATATTTTGTGCTGAAAGCTGCATTCAGATCCCCTCCTTAGGAGATAAAGTAGAGCTATAATTCATGTCAGAAAGTGTGTGTTGGTGTACATGCAATCTTTTCAGTTATTTCCTGAAACAAAATAGTTCATGATTTTAATCATAAAATGTACTGTGTTGCAGTATCAAATGCTGTGTATTTATTGAAGAGGTTTAAATTGTGCTTTAAAAAGAAACTGGATTTCATAGAAGGATATGTATATGAATCTTTCAACAGTGCATTTGTTCAGCTTTCTGTCCAAATGGGAATTGTGGGGACTCTGGGACAAGCTGGCCTAAAGTGGTTAACAGGAATGAGGACATCTACTAGTCTTGATGGGGGGATCCAGGTGAAGAAAGGCAAAGAGCTCAAAGTTTTCTTGAACACTCCAGAAGAATTTATGGAGATAATTAATTTCAGGTAAGATTAAGCACAGCCATCTTCAGAAACAGTAACTGTTAACTTTCTTGAATATAACTGACAATTTTGTTTAGATACTGCTGTAACTTCAGCATAATTGGTTTTAAGTTATTGTTCAAAATTCTTGGTTGTAGCTCTAAAGTCTACTTCAGAATGGTGGATGAGACAGAAGATATAGATGTTTTCCAAGTCCACACAGAAACCAGATCCTGCACTAGGGAGGAAGGTGAGTCCAGCTATTATGTTTGTCTTAGAAAGGCATTCTGAAATATCCATAACAGATCATTTTATTCACTAGAGTTTCTTTTTTCACATATTTTCTCTAAAAGGTCTACAGTGCAATGTTCATTTTCATGTTTTCTTTGTTTGCTGTTCTAATTGAATGTTCAACTGTTGTCTTCCACTAGTATCTGAGATTATTGGCTGGCAGCTGTGTTCTGAAATGTCCTATCCTGACCCAGCCAGTGGTTTGGTTTTCCCCCTCACTGGACCTTTGAGAGTGGCTGTGACATTAACTAAGCAAGACAGAGGCCTGCAGCAGTACGTGGTGGAAGCTGCCTATAACTACATAGCTCAGGTACCACTGGCACGCTGGGCTCTGGCTTTAGTTGCAGTTTTCTGTTCTGGTGTATCTCAGTACTGCATATTCAACCCTCTGCATTCCAAGTTCTATGTTATTGTTCATTCCATTCCCAATATATGGGAAGATATGTTGAGCACAAATTACTGATGCTGATAAGAAGTATATACTCTTTTTATCTATTATCCTTTCTTTCTTTCAGGAGAATTCATGGATCCCTAGTGAAGCTGTCTTTCACTTCTTCCTTGGGACTCCAAAGTCAGACTTGAAAAGAGATGTTGGTGTTGACTTAAGTTTTAGTGTCCCACAGAAGAAATTCAGAATCCAATTTATACAACCTAAGAAAAAAATTGAGATTGATGGTAGGTTTTTCAGCTAAGAGCCTGATCATCAGCTAATACCAGTTAGGAGAATTTAATTACAATTAACTGAGAAATATCAGCATATTTCACTCACTAATCCAATGCTGAAACTACATTATTATGTGATAACTGTCAGTTTACTGTTTTAGGTAGCAGCCATTCCCAATGGGGTTTTCATCTTGGTTAAGACTATATTTTGCACAGTCAGAGGTACAGTACCTGGTTCCTAAAATCATATTAGAGAAGAAAGCTGTTATCAGGATTAATGAATTGAAGGTTAAAGAATATGGTGCATTGTTCTGACATCTTTTACATATGCTGATCTTGCCTTACTGTTTCAATTTGCTGTGTTCTGTTAGTTATGAGATGATATTTGTTGCTGAATCAGTGAAGTACTGACTATGATATTGTAATGCATTGTAATAAAAAATAACATTTTAATCACAGTGTGACATAGAATTCAGAATCTATAAACCCATTGAGGAAATATAAACTGATACATTAATGGTAATAATATAGACAACGAATTTCAGCTTCTTTGGCTTGCTGGTCAAGTGATGTTTTGTGTTGATATATTCAACCATATGATGTATTTAGAATTTTTTTTTTATCCCAGTTATTTCCAAATGGGTTGCAAGGAAGCTTTACCAACACTGTGCAAAGCTTTGTGTGCAGAGTGTTCTGAGCTCCTGAAATGTCTCCACAGCACGACACAACTTACAAGTTTTAGCACAGGCCTAAAGGAAGTGCAAAAATCAATTCCAGAACTAAGCTGTTTTTGTTGGAGACAGCTTCATTGCCTCTTCTCAATTATTCTCCTCAGAATATCTTTTCAAAAATACTAGTTTATTCTGAAGACACCTTGCAAAATGCCTTTGCAAATTCTGATCCTAACTTTTTTTCCTTTGAGCTGATATTTACGTTTTTAATCTCTCTGTATCTATTGTTTATAACAAGAATAACTATCATTTCAAGTACAGTCTTATGAAGCATCACTGAAAGTAAAGAGTTTTCTTTTTCTCCAAGGGAGGATTGAGTTTTCTAAAAATTCCCGAGTTGGATACCTGGAGCTGATAGTGGATGACCGAGATGTGTATTACATTAAGGTATGTTTGCATTTTGTGAGGTCTCCTTCTAGCATGAATACTTACATAAAAGCACAGAAAAGAAGGGCAGGGAAAATACACATATTGAAGAGCAGTTTTGTGAGCAGTCCATCAGAGAAATTACCAGTTCTCCGTATTACATATTTTCGAGATAGATTCAGTGCTAAATTTCAACTTAGATCTCTGTGAGACTGCCAGTATTTTCATTAACACCCTAATAATTTCTGGCCTGGTATTGTAACATTTGTAGTGATTTCAGTCCTAAAACCAGCAGAAGCTGAAGGAAGTAGCATCTTGCACCACTGTGACCTCTGTGTAACTGGAAAAACAAATCCATCCTTCCTCCCCATTATTTATCAATGGCAAGTTTTAGGCTTTGTGAGGTGCGGAAGGTTTGTTGTTAGATGTATAGAAAAACATTCTTCCTCCTCTCATCTCATTTCTGAAACACCCAAGTCTATACTATTGCTTACTTAAAACTTATGTTGTTGAGTGACTTGGGGTTTGCTTTTTGATTTGTTTGTTTCTTCTAGGGAATGGCAGATTTGCAAATGCTGAGTGGAGAGCAGAGATACATGACCCAGCTGGAGGTAAAGCTGATAAAGCAAAGCAGTCCTATCATTTTGTCAGGAAACATCACTAAACAGCTTGGCAAGAAGATAGCTTTTTCAGTATCTCTGAATAATTTGTTGAAGGAAGCTGCATTTCTTTCAGGTTAGAGGACAGTAAGTATTTGCCTTATAAATGCAGGTTCTGGAACTGTTATTTGTTAGGGTTATCTGGTTTTGGACACTTATTCCTTAAATTCCAAGTCCATAAAGACTGCTTTTTAAAATTACTATCCTGCATAAATTAATACAAATATATATATATATATATTTCAGAATAGAAGAAATTTTAAAATAGGTCTGTTTTGAATTATTGTTGGAAAGGGTAGAGGAAATAATATAAAAGGAATTACTTGATAAAAACATGCCAAAAAAGAGCAGCTGTTTTTCACTTTTGTTAATACAAAACAATGCAGAGACACATATTTGTAGCTGAATGTCTTAAGACCTGCTGTTCTAAAAATCATGAAGACTTTTTTTCTCATAAATAAGCTAAGAGAAAAATACAAGAGAAAGTATCAGAAAGAGAGCCTTAATATTTGTATAACATCAATACATTAAAATTAAAATACAGAAATGAGGAATGCAGAAGGCAGTTTGTTTTTTGGAAGATGATCTTTTGGTGAAGTTTTCATCTTTAGCTTTCACATGGATTGCCAGTGACTGTATCCAAGCCAGTTCTGGTCTGATTTCAAACTCCTAGCACCTGGGAAAACTTGGCTGCACCAGTTGTGCTGCTGCAAAGCCACAGGCTTGCTCTGACTTTATGTAGAGGTGAACATATGTGTTCACACCTTAGGGCTTAGTTAATTAAAAGATCTGTCTGTCTGAATTTATTTCCTTTGAGAAGCAGCTTTGGCTGCATGCATTTCAGTAAGCTTGAAGCAGGTTGTGAGAAGTGTGGTCTGCAGGCCACACTGGAGATGGAGAAGGACACTGAACATCTAGCTTTGTGTCTTTTTATCTGTACACTACACAGGAAATTCATAATGGTGGAGAGACTGAATGCCCTTTTGGTTTTCCCAGCTGTAGTATTCCTTTGATAGCTGAAGTAACTTCAAGTTCTACCATTGCATAATAATTTCTCTTCTTTCTCTAGCACTTCTGGAGCAAAAGGTTGATGATAAGCTGAGACAATACTCGTTGGAAGGGGAGGCTCACCTTCCAGGTGTTCTTGGAGTTCACGCTGTCGCTCTTCTCCAGCAGCACGAGGGATTGTGGTCTCATGGTCTGCAGATAAAATATGGACTCCTAGGTACACTGAAAAACAGGGAAAGAAAAAGTATTCTGTATTATTCGCTTTTCCTACGAGATTTTCCTTTGTGTTTAGAACACAGTAGAGAGATTTCAGTTAATTTTTAAACTGTGATCTAAAATTTGGAACAAGTTTCTCTTTTCAGTTGGATAAACTTTACTCTTTGAGTCTACATATAAGAACAATTTTTTTAAATGGGCTTTTCACAAGCATACCCATCATTAGATTAAAAATCACTTTTTCAGTGAGAACTGCTCCTAATTAATTTGTGTTTTCAGATGATTGCATGCATGCACTCAATAATATGAGGGGTGGTTTCTAGGAAGCAGCTGGCTTTGCTCCCCTGGCTGCAATATAGGAATTGTGTTAATTTTGTGGGACAAAGCAGGTGACCATCAGTGCAGTTATATCAAAGTATTGAATCCTTGTAGTAGCTAATAATGATAAATGTTATAGGGGGATGGTTTATGCTACCTCTGTTGCACCTTCAGAGAGTAGCAATATGAGTAATAAAGTTTTCTTAAACCTATGCAGGCATGACCCCATAATTTTGCTAACAATGGCTCACTGATCACAGAATCTTATAAACAACAATCAAAACACACCTAAACACTTAAACAGTACCTTAAGATGCCTGGCCACAGCTGTGTAATTTGCAGTTAGATACTTGGAGCATAGTTACACTTTAGTTTAAACCCAGTTTAGTTTAGTTTAAACCCAGTTTGACAGCTATTCCACCTGAAGTGTTCAACAAATACTTCCTTGGAGAAGAGTTGGATTTTTCATTTTAAAAAGTAATCCTAGTTATTAGGTGGAACTTCAAATTCATTATTTTAATTTTCTTCTCAGTGTCCAGAAGGGCGGGAAGTTCTTTTTTATTTTTTTTTTTAAGATGAAATGTCATGTAATATTATGTGATACCAAGAAAGCTGCAAAGCTTGATCATGATTACTTTGCAGTTCTTTTACTTCAACCAGGTAAAATTCTGTTTAAGTAATGATGTTTATGCTTTCCTTTGGATTTGTAGGATGAATCAACAAGTATATAGCTGTAAAAATAAACGAATCTCACTTTGATGTTCTGAAAAATAGAAGTCTTGAAGCCAGTGCCAGATTCATACTATTAAGATTTTGAAATATTAACTCTGATTTACTTGAGTAAGTAACTTTGTGATTTAACTTGAGCAGAAGATGCAAAAAACCCTTGCCATGAGTGCAGCACGCAGCAGAAAGTTCAAGTGGAGACGGGTGCACGGGGCTTCTACAGACTGGAGCTGGGCCATGAGTTTCACTGTGTGCAGGCTCCCACCTACAGCCACCAGGTGGGTGCTGAGCCAGGCACTCTGTGGGCTGGGCACCCCTGTGTCACCTGTGAGCAAGAGATCACAGCAAAAGGCAATGCTCTCCTCTTTAGGTTCACCTGGAACATGAAGTGACTGCATCTTGGATTTCCTCCCAGATGGAAGTGAACTATGGGAAACATTGGGATGAAATAAACAACAAGAAGAAAGTGCTGATCAGCCAAGCCTTTAAGAACAGTTCCAGTTCATCTGTAGTCAGCTATTTCTTGGAGGTAATAGTGATGGTTGAAAAGTAAGACCTTCACTTCAAGCATTTAACAGACAGACTAAGAATAAATGTTTTTTTTTTTTTTATTACAACATTTTTTTTAAGTATGGTGTGTACTAATAATATAAGGCAAGTACCCAGACCTAATAATTTTGAGCTAGGTGAGGTCTTAGCTCAGAGACACAGAATCTTTGACATTTACTAGAAGATAAATTTTGCAAATACTGGAAAAGTTAGGATTTAATTTGCTCCGAGTTTTTTGCATTTTTAACTCGTATAAAATGATTGTAAAGATTTATGAAAGCTGCTTTGGTGACACAATGTGGAAGGAGGGCACAGGTTATAACAACTCAGAATATTACAGCATTTTTCTTTTTTAATCTCCTGTAGTTGTAACAAATGCATATTAAAGAAACCTCAATCTATAATTGGTGAGCATGCATGAAAATCTGTAGAGTGAATGGCAAATGTGCAAAGGCAGAAGCTGTGACCTTCCTGCTTCTGTGTGTGTAACTTATACAGCCCTGAAAATGGGATCTTGTTCTTATTTAAATTTGCTTGATTTCTTTTCCAGTTTACCATGCAAGTCCTGGAAAAACAGATGAATTATAGAACCCAGCTGCAGCACTTGCACACCTCTCAGGTGTATTTGCAGAGCAGCACCAATTTTGAGGTGCAGTATAATGACCGTGTACCATTTGTGGCTGGGCTGCGGTGGAAGGATGCATCCAGAAATGGCCTGAAGAAGTGGGAAGGTGAAGTACCACAAACCACTTCCAGTCTGTGATTAGAAAAGCAGGCATTGGAAGCTGCTGCCAGGTTTTTCTGAGCAGTTTTGCGTGAGTGCAACAGAGTGATAAAGATGTTTGTTGGAAGAAAGAGACCCTGGAGGTTGTCCAGCCCAGTTTCCTGCTCCAGTCAGGACTGTTTCTAGCAGTAGATCACATCTGTTGTGGCTTTGTCTAGCTGAGTTTTCAAAATCTCCAACCCATCACAGCCTGGCTGGTTGGCCTCTTCCAGCAGTTCCATTTACACTGGTGAAGGACATTAATTTCATTATATACAACCCAGAGATTTTAGCACTTGGAAGAGAAAAGATTGATAGTAGCATTTTAGCTTCATTCTGGAACATTTGGATCTTATCAGCCTTGATGTGGAGTTAGAATCCAGGTTGTTTGAAATCTCATGTTTCTGTCAGCTTTAATATATGTCCCTTGCAGGTGGGTTCAATATAGACACCCCATGGCTCTACCTGTACACAGCTCACAAACTGCACCAGCCTCAGCATTCTGCTTATTTACTGACATCCCAGCTGACAGCTGGAAAAGCTCTCTCCATTAAAGACCTTGTACTGGAACTATTCTATAAAGATCAAGGCAATGAGAAGGAGGGGAAAGTTCACATTTACACACCAGCTACCACATACCTGCAGGTTGGTGCCATGGTGCTTTGCAGGGTGTATGGCTTTGGGGACAGGGCTCTGTGCTGTCACTATGCTCTGACTCTGTGGTTTCTAAACTTCCTCCTAATTTATTTTAGACTGTGCTATACAGTAGAGGTTTAAAACTGATTTCATCATAGTTGCTGTTCATTAAGCAATGTGATAGACTTCTGTCTTTTTTGTCTTGTGTTTATGATTAAGATGTTCTTTATCACCTTTTCCTCCTTAGGTCCCTACTGCTTCAGGCACAGTCATGGAGAAATGTGTGAAACATTCTTGAATGAGAAAAAACTGTTCATCAATTATTTAGTTTTTTGTCTCTCCCTTGTTTGGAGGAGTTAAATAAACTTTGAACTCTATGGTAATTTGGAGTATTTTGATAATGGAAAAGATGGCACACATTTCTTACAGTTCTTGTAAATGATCATTCTGTCACCTCTGTGCTGTGCTGCTGCACAATGGAATGTTGTCTGTCCTGGCTCAGCCAGACTAATGTCTTTGTTTTTCAGGCATCCACAGTTAATCATCTTGGGAGGAATGTTCTGCATAGCTATAGTGAAATGATCTCTCTGTGGAATCAGCTCGTGAAGAATGAGATTCATTTGGAGAATAATGAACGAGCCAAACTTCTCTGCTTTAAGATAAAGAGTACAAAACAGGAATTTAACTTCACAGCCAGCTATCAGAATCTGCCAACGGTGAGAAAGAAAAACAAAAGCAATTTTTTTGACTCTGCACAAAAAGTGACTCAGCACTCTGTTCCTGAAAGATGTTATTGCTAGTGTTGAACCTTAAACCCTTCCAGTACTGTATTTATTTCTGTCTGTTTTGACAGGCTGCAGTGTAAATCTAGGTTCAAAAATAAAACAAAAACTTGTGTGGCATAGTTTGGAGTACTTCTCACCTGTTAGGGAGCCCAGACAGTCAGTCAGGGAGGGTGAAGAGAGACAGCATGACTAGAAAGAGAGCTGGAGATGTGGTTACTCACAACTTGATGAAGATGTATGAGAGGTGTAGAAAATTCTACTGTCCTGGAGAATCAGAATCTCTTGCCTGCTAGTGAGCATGGTAACAGCCCAGGTTTATAAGTTATTTTAGTCTCTACAACCCTTCCAGTCTTAAAATAATTTTTGCTTTGCTTGATGTCTGTGGCACAGGAAGGGTAATCAGCAGTTTCTTCTCAAAAGTGGTACTTTGATCAGTTGCTTTGGTCCACTCACACCTTGCAGGAAGTCTTAAAGTGTTTTTCTAAACATAGCTTTGAAAATGCTTTTTCCATGCTTTGAAAATCCAGTTTGGTTTTTTTATATACCAGAGCTTGCTTATGTTGCAAGTGGGTGACATGAAAGTGATATATTAAGGGGCACTTGTCTTCTGCTGGAGTGAGTTTTCTACTGGTGGCACTTTTAATCCACTGAGAGATTAATGGAGATTTGGACTTAAACCACAGCAGAAATGGGTGTCTGTGAAGTGACAGCCTTGCTGCAGCCTGTTGAAACAGCATGGTTTCCATATTGAGGTTCCTGAATATGAATGCAGTAAATCTGATGCAATTGTCCTTTCCTGTTCTGGTCTCATGATCTGAGTGCAGCCTAAGAAGACAAATTTTTCTGTGAAGATTGTTTGGAGAGATTATAAAAGTCTGCCTGTTATACTGCAGTGTGAAGGTCAGATAAAAGAGCTGAGGAAGGAGAAGATGCTCTATCAAAAACGTGCAACCCTGCATTTCAGGTTTAGTATTCGTATTTCTATCTTTTAAGAATGTTTTGGCCTAAATTTAATGTGCATCTTGATGCTCTTAGGAAATGTTCTGGGCTTTATAAAGTGAGAGTACCACATGCGCAGGGTCTGTTCTTTGTCCCATCTGGTTCCCTGAACCTGCTCAAGTACAGCAGCTTCATGGCCTGGTTATTTGCGTCCATTAGGTTTTGGCCTCTTTGTTGAAATGACAGTGAACAAAGCTGTCAAAGGCAACAGACCATGTGTGCTGTGACATGTTTGCTGGCAACTCAGCCAGGCATATAACCTCCTTTCCTGAAAACAGCAGGATTTATGGTGTGTCCAAACTTGTGTGTGGTGAGAAGTTCCAAAATCCAGATCTGATTCTCTGTGCCATCCATGTGCTTTTTTCCTAATCCTTAGGCATTATATAGTCATTCTAAAGCCAGAGGTATCCTCTTAAAACATGTAACAAATGGTCTTGTTTAGATTTTGGAATATATTTTCATTTTCTGGTGAGAATGAGTACACTGCTCCTACATGTTGGCTGTCCCTGAAATTTCTCTCTTCATTATCCATTACTAAAGCCCAGCCTGAAGGCCTTAGTAAAAATGTGTGCTCAGATTAGAGACATCTGGATGACTTCTGGGGAGATCTCAGCTTTCTTAAGGCACAGCAGCATGAACAAGAGTGCACAGGCTGCCTTAGGAGGCCCTGTACAGCTCAGAGATAACTAAAACACTTGGAGGTGTCTTTTCAGTAGAAAAATATGTAAATGAAGAGCTGTAGCAGATATTCTAACATGTATAAAGGCAGTCCAGTGTCTGCTTATAGAGGTTCGTGCATGCTTCCAAGAGGTCTGACTTATTAAATGTGCAGAAATATTTAATGAAGTCCATAAACCATTACACTGAAGTAGTAAACTTCTCCTAGAGCTGTGTAGTGCTGAACATCTGTTGTACAGGGTTCTTGGCATGTAGATGCTGTTTCTACATAAAGCATAAAATGTGGATAGGTGAGATTTCCAAACCTGGCAGGAGCTTTTGGACACTCCTTATTTGAAATGAAGTCTTGGCCATGCAGGTATAGAAGGTATATGTGCTGGTTATACATGTCAGAACTTTAGAGCAGCACCTTCTCCCATGCCCTTCCAGGCATTTACCAAATTCAGGATGGAAACTCTATCAAAAATTCAGGTTAGTGTGTGGAGTTTGTGTGAAGTTGTCATTATGCCCTATAGTTCCTTAAATGTCCAGTCCCATGTGTTTTGCTTCTGTACCTGACACCCTGGTAGTAACTGATAATGTTGGTTGAACTTTGCATGTTCAAGCTGAACTCTGCATGATTTCTTGTTGTAGTTGTCTATTAAGATCTTTTACACTATGTTTATTTCTTGGTTTTTTTCCAGGCATCCTTTTAAAGTGCCTTTTCTGCAGAGCTTCCTTCTGCAGGAGACATTTACTGTTGACAAAAAGCAAAAGCACTATTTCATGGAAACAAAAGTTTTGATAAATGGAGTGGAGGAAACAGTTCAGACTCTCATACTTGGTTACCAACCTGAAAACCCCTATGTGAGTTATCAAAAAACTTCCTTTAGTCTGATATTCCAAAACAAGCTGCAAATGAGTGGTTTACTGCATATTACTTATGTTCCTTGCATTTTCTCTCAAAATTCTTTTTAGATTTGTGCTGGCTTAACTCATCCTTATAACATTAGGATATTTCCCAAAGATGTTGAAATGTGCATTTTAACTCTAAGTCATCAAAATGTGAGTAAATTTCCCATTAGACTCATTTAGGAGACATTCATTACCTGTTTATTTACACTTTATTGTCTTTTCAGACCTCACTTGCTATAGGTCTTTAGTTTCTAGCCACAGAGCTGCTGCAACCAAATTGTTCAGAGGGTGATTATGTCCTTGGTACCTCCTTAATTTTGTAGACTAATATGTTGTGTAGTAATCTATGATAAGAATACTTCATATATTATTTTTAGAATATTATTATGCATGAGTGTTGTTAACAAAACAAGTACTGGGATGGAATGGATTCAGTGTTCTCACTTTATCTAGCTGTATCTATTCATCTTTCTTACCAAATGTAGCTATTTTTCCTCATTTTCTTTTCTTCTATTTTCCTCATTTTCTTCCTCATTTTTCTCATTCTTCTTCCTCATTTTTCTTTCTGAGCCAAAGCATAATAGATTGAAACTGTTTCATTTTTCATAATGTGTAGGGATGGCTTCTCTGATCTTTCTTTATACACAGGGTTAATACTCAGTGCACTTTGCTTACTCCCATTCTTAACACACAGGTGAAGCACGAGCTTGAGACTGTCCTAAAGGTGAATAAAGAAGATGTTCTCAGTTTTCTAGGGAGGTATCAGGACAAATCCGGTGAGGCAGATTTTAGACACCTTTTACACGTGGATGTGACACACTCGTTCCAGGTACTGATGGGTTTAATTTTTGGTGTTTTTTATGTCTTGGTGACTGTTTTAGTGTGTTGTCTTTAGAATTATAATTGTTTGATTACAATTATAATTGTTTGCTAAATGTCCTAAACCAATCAAGTCCTGGCCCTGACAAATAACTGTAGGTATCTCAGTATGTTCAGTTATGTATCTATAATTTCTGTCAATAATATCTTGTAAGGCACACATTGACCCTTTTTCATGCTTTTTTTACTACTTTCAATATATTTTTCAGTATCTTGTGATATAACTGGTAAAATTTGATACCACATTTGTGATGGTGCTTATATGCATCACCCACTTCATGCTAGAAGTTCAGACATTAAATCACGTGAGGCAGTTGTGGGGAATGCAGTGCTCTCTTCTGATACTTTGCTTTGTCAAATAGCTTGAGTTTCCACAAGCAGTGGCCCTAAGCGGGGAGCTCTTCTCCAGGCAGACTGAACTGGAACACTTAGACTGTGGTGTGAGTGTAAAAGCCATCATCAACAAGAACATGTCTTCACAGGTCAGTCCCCTGGTCTTTACAGTCTTGTTGCTTGAACTTGAAGCTTTTGCATTTCATACACTCAGTGACTATACTGGACAGGTGTAAATTGTTAGGGAGACAGTTAACTTTTGATGGTTAGAGTTTGTTCTGGCTAGATAGTTACATGGGGTTGGAACAGTTGGCTTGTATTTTGGCTGAAATTCAGAAAACTCTTAAAGTCTAGTTAAATTGTACTTAAAATTCAGTGTAGCTCATATTTTGTTGCGACAGGGTTGGAATAAAGACAGGGATATCACTTACCCATTACCTTCACAGACAAAACCGACTCAACATAGGCAATATTAATTTAATTTATTGCCAAATAAAATTAGTCAGATGGTGAGAAACAAAGATGAGAACTAAAAACTGCTTTCCCCCTTTGCTCCCCTCTCTGCTTTTGTCCAGTCCCAGCTTGTTGTCTGCAGTCTCATTGCTCAGACTGATGTTTCAGTATTGTGTATGATAATCTGAGATCCTTAAAGACCTGCTCTCCTTTTTCTCTGTGTGTAGGCCCAGGCAGCCCTGAAGAGTTATGGTGAAAACAATGTCAATGGCTCCCTTCACCTTCATTCCAATGGAAGGGAAGTGCTGATGCTGGAGGTCGATGTGAACAATGAAAAGAGGAGGAATGCCAGAATTGTTGAATTGAGGGCTTTTCTCCATCAGACAGTCCTGACAAATCCAGAATCAGTACAGTTCCAGCTCATGGGCAAAATATTTCCATCAAGGTAGAGAAATCACAATGTTGGTTAGCTGAGGTACTAAAGAGTGTTCTGGGATACAAATTTAAATGTAACTACTTTCCTATGGCTGCAGCAAGGCTGCTGAGTAAATGCCAGTTGATGTGTTATCCCTATTGTTGAAATACTTCTGCTCCTTATGTTTCATAAGTTGATACAAGTTGTGTTAATGTGCTCTAGCTGCTTTCCAAGGACTTAGAGAACTTTGAGTGAACAGATAGTACAAGTTATGCCAGTGGAAAAGGGCACTTCCCAGTGTTTATTATAAGGTTTTTAAAATATTGGAGAAAGCTCTGAGGTGGCAGAGGTGGGAAATAGAAATTTGGCCCTCAAGTTTCAGCTGATTTTTCAAATTTTACAAATACAAATGTATGCAGTGAAGAATTTTAGAATTTCTGCAGAGGTCCCAGTGTTTACCAATTGGATGGGATAAGGAGAATAAGGAAATAAGAGTTAAAGGAATCAGAAGTTACTAAAATTTAGATGAAGCACATTAGATTTACTAGTAACACTAAAAATAAGATAAAATATTCCAAGAAAGGTATTTAATGTGGTTCTGCAGTATGCTTGCAGTTTTGGCCTTCCAGTAGTGCATTAATTTGTTTAAATACCAGGGTAAGCCACAAGAGAGCAATTTATTGCAGTTCACAGGAAAGAAAACAGAACACTTAAAATTTTTGGAATGATGATTTGTTTAGGGTTTGTTTTACAAGGAGAATACAAACAAAAATAAACTGTTGAGTGTTTCTGGAGAACAGCTAAAAGGATGCAGTCTGTACGGACTGCAGTTGCTGATTGAGGCAACAAACCTTACTTCCCTGACTATGTAGTTTTGTTCTTCCCGTGGAGTGGATTTTCACTGAGGTTTTGCTTGTCATCAGTCTTTCAACAGGGTTCCAATTTGTAGAAGGGATGTCTAACACTACGAAAACTGGACTGATTGGTTCACTTTTAGGTATTTTGTGTAATATACTTCAGTCTAGAAAGTCAGATAGTTCAGTGGATAGTTTGTTAAAGGCCATGTGAAAATTGTGTCTCAGTCTTATACTTACAACACAAAAAATTTTGTTGCTCCTGTAAGTTTCCCTGAGAAGCTGTGCCACTTTTCTCCAACACTCTTCAATTCAGGGCCAAGGTGCAAAGAAATATTGTTGTTTCATTTACCAAACTCAAATGATGGTCACACTTAGAATTATTTTTTAAACTGAATTCTCAAGTGCTGCTTTTAAAGCAGCACCAAAGATCTATTTCATATTGTGACAGAGAAGGCTTAGTTTCCAACTCAAAGTCTCTCCAGCTCTTTCTTTTATTAGGAACCATAACAAAAGCATTCAAGAAATTTAAAGAAAAAATTAGTCTGCTAATCTGTAAATCTTTACTGAGGAATTTATAAACATCTGGTGAATAGCGTGTGCTGACTGCAGGGCATCTGATTGCCTGATTCACAACACTGGAATGAGTGTCCAGAAAATCTAAGGATGTCTAAATCTAAGGAGTCCAAGGATGGAGACTCCAAACCTGACCACACACTCCTGAGCACCCTGCTCTCATTGATCCTGCTTTGAGTGAGGAGGGGTGTCTTGACAATCCTGAATCAACCATAATAATATCTTACTAGCAATTTTTATGTCTGTCTTTTTAGACTTCTATTGTCTTCCAACTTGAAGCTTAATGAAAATAGGCTTCACATGGATTTCATGGGAGCCAGGGAGCAGAAAGCTGGTTTTGTTTTGTCCCTAAATGGAAGAGTCCAACACACTTTTACTGGATTAAAGGCTATACCTCATCTCCTTTCTCTGGATGGATTACTGAAGTGCAAAAACAACATTCATGATGGTACTCTGTTCCTTTGTGTTTTGTTCTAACCTGCAGCTATCTAAGGATGCTGCTTAATTTTAATGTAATCCTTCCTGAGCTGCACAATGTATTCAGCTCTGGGTCCCCAACAGAAGAGCAATGTGTACCTACTGGAGTGAGTCCAGAGCAGACCACAGAGATGATCAGAGGACTGGAGTCCCTCTGCTCTGGAACCAGGCTGGGAGAGTTGGGGTTGTCAGCCTGGAGAAGGCTCCGGGGAGACCTTAGAGCTCCTTCCAGTACCAAGAGAGCTGGAGAAACACTTTGGACAAGGGGAAATGTCTTCCAAGTGACAGAAGACAGATTTAGATTGGATATTAGGAAGAAATTCTTGTAAGAGTGATCAGAAAATGGAACAGGTTGCCCTGAGAAGCTGTGGATGCCTTGTCCCTGGAAGTATTCAAGGCCAGGCTGGACAGGGCTTTGAACAGCCTGGGACAGTGGAAGGTGTCCCTGCTCATGGAAGAGGGGTTGGAACAAGATGGGCTTTAAGGTTCTATCCTGAACCATTCTGTGATTCTGTATAATGCAGAGCAGAGTATTTGGCATGCAAAATGAACCATGGGTCATTGGGTTGAGAGTATTTTTCAGCGAACTAACATAGTTTGGATTTTTCATGTTTTCATGGATTAAAGGAAATAGTGGGTGGCCTCTTTCCTCTTCTGAAATGTGGGGGCTGACTTAAGACTCCTACTCCTTTGAATGGCTCCATGGGTGGAGTAGATCACTGCAGAGCTCTGCAATTACACAAGTAGTAGGTCACAATCCATCTGTAAATTTTCCTTCAGAGGGACTGCAGTATAGTACCTGGCCTAAGGGCACAAGCAGCTTGGTGAATAAAAAGGAACAGCTGCCAGAAATACTGTTATGTAATTTGTTTTAGACACAGTCATTAGTAAAGAAACCCTCAACACTGAACTGCTTTGCTCTCTAAATTAGGCAAAATTATCTAGTGTGATAAATGGAAATTCTTCTACTTCCTCCTGATATTACATTAATTGTTAATTTATACATTACTCCTAAAACTGTGTCTATTTCTGTCCTAAGAAACTCTCCCCACAGTAACAATTTCTGCCTGTTACAGGTAACATCAATGTGATGGTCAACAAAAGACTGTATGGACTGCATGTCAGGAACAGGAATGTGTTTGGGAATACCACTGTGCACAATATCACTGTTGCCATGGTTCAGAATGGCAGTCAGGCAATCCCAGGGGAGGCAAGACTGAAAGGACACCTGGAACTGAGTAAAGAGAAGAAAAGGGGGCTAGCTAGCTTCCAGGTGGATGAGAAGGCTCTTTCTGTAGATTTTTTCAATATCATGGATCGTGGGCATGGCACAGTCAGTGGGACTTTCACACATAATGTCGACTTTTTAACAGATGCAGGTAGGAAGAAAATCTGACTTGATGATATGGTCTTACAAGGTGAATTTACCTAAATGACTGCTGACCAATGGAAACAGATGAGTTGTGTTTGCTCACACCAGAACAAAATGTCTTTTAGCCTTAGCAGCATTCTTTTTAGTATTGTTGAGAAAATACCATAAAAATGACCCAGAAATAGTTCAAAGAGTTTTGAAGTACTTCAGAGGAAATTATTTCTCTCTTGTACATCTGTGTTCTTGCACAGCATCTAAACCGACCAGTTCCTCTGAGTATACTTACAACACTTACCAAGTGTTGTTTCCTAAGCTAAGCTGTGGATTTTCATGAACTGGAGTTATCAGTAATTTTGCACGGGTTTCTTTGTGACCAGTTCCTCTGAGTATACTTATAATGCCAAGTGTTGTTTCCTAAGCTAAGCCGTGGATTTTCATGAACTGGAGTTATCAGTAATTTTGCATGGGTTTCTTTGCACAGAATAAATCCTTTTTGAATTTTTTGACAGCTGACTACTGGAGTTGGACACAATACCAATTGGTAAATATCCTTTATTAAGAAAAGGAAAGTTCTTGATTTCCAAAGTGCATGCCACATTTTAATTTAGCAGTCCCTTTTCAATATGATTTTAACCTGGAAGGTAATGTCCTTCTATAAATATCAGTAAAGTGATCATACTTTATATAAAGATGTGCCTTTTCTTATGAAAAATTACAGAAGGCTTCTTTTGATCTGTAGTGCATCTTCTCTGTAGTCTGTAATGACAACCCAGAAGTGCTGTGTTAATTTTACTTCCTTCCCTGTCAATAGGGTTGCCTTTGGATGGCATTCTTACTGCCACATGTGAACGTGGCACAGGCAATCACACCATTGCCATAGCCCTGCAGAGTGGCAGTGAAAGGATGGTTGCTGTGTTTGAGGGGCACAGACTGACCACAGAGCCTCCCACATCCCAGCTATCTGTGAGCTTAAAGCACAACATCTCAAAGATAAAGAAACATGGGATCCCTTTTGTTTTAGAAGCTGCTGGCTATTATGAGGTAAGAAGAGTTCTGCCTGTGAAAGTTCAATTTCTGGCAGGACAATTTGTGTATATATGATAATTCTAGGCTTTTCCTGTGCACTCTATATATTTATTCTAGAAGCTGCTCTGTTTTTGAGATGTACTAAATTCCTGAGTGAAAGAAAGGTGTTGTCTGGCTCCTTGTCATACTGTGGACCTGTCATCTGAGCTCTTGGAGCTGAATCTAGACTAAATGAGACGCTACATTCAGTTCTCATTTAAGTGAAGATTTTGCTGCATATGAACATATGTCTTGTCCAATTTTATCTTTCCCCTGTAAATGGGAAGTGGACCAGCAGGCCTAAGGCTTGCGTCTGGTACTGGATTTAACTGGTCTTGGTGTCATCCTTTGGATGGCTGCTAAAGAGCAGAAAGTGTTTAGCATGGCTTTCCCTTTGGAAATTCCTACCCACAGAAGCATTATGGACCATGATTCCTGGTATGGTGTTGCTTGGCTGCTGTTCTCTCTATCTGCACTTCTGCTATAGATCTGTGAGTGTTACAGCTCTTTTGCATTGCAGATTATCGTTCCATTAAAGAAGAGTTCAAATGCTTCGCTGTCTCAGACATCCACTGAAAGGCTCGAGTCACTCACATGCTTATATTTGGGTGGCTTCAACCACTGTGGTAGGGTGAGACACAAAGGTGTGCAGAGAAAGAATTCTAAATAGTTCCTTTGCCTTGCTTTTTAATAGTTCCAGTGCTTTAATTGTTTGTGCCTGTGGGCTCAAATCCTTCAGGGTACTGAATGCTCTCATATGTTTTGAAGCCAGAAAGAATTATTGATATGCTGCATTTAGAAGGTCTGGCATGACATTACAATCTCTATTTGAAATGAGGATGCCTTGATGAATTTGCATTTTTATTTTACCAGTGCTGCCACCCTGACACAGACTGTGATGTTTAAGCACAGTGCAACATACTCTGCCTTTCCCAATTGTTGCTGGGATGTTGTTGTTGTTTCTTTCTTTCCATGATTTGGTTTCTTTTGTGCATAGAATTTCTCCAGAAAGATCGCTGCAGGGATAACAACCACAGTGGAGACAGAGCAGCTCAAGATTGAAATGGAGAAGAAAACCACTGACACTGCTATGAAAATTTCTCTTTCACTTCACCATGATGTGGGAGGACTGATGGACATTGTTCCACATGTACTAGAGGTTTGCAGAAATCCTGCTATTTATTGTAATGTATTTAGTGCACTAAACACTAAACTGTTTATCTTTTTGAAACAGAACTCTAACCTTTAATCTATGTTTTGGTGCCTTCATCTATTTGATCCTTAAAGTAGTCTTGTAACTTGCTCCTTTGAATTTTAGTCCTCCCTGCTTTTCTTCATTTTCTGAATGTGCTTTGTTGACAACATCAACAGGTTGCTTGCAGTGGAGAATCTGCTAACAAACAACTTTCTGGCCTTTGCAATGGTGCAATTGCATTTCATCATTTTGAGGTACTTGCTTCATTTATAAACTTTGCTCTCAACAGCATAGTGTCTTAACTACTATGGAGGGAATAAGTACTGAAAGTGTTGGACATGTAGAAATGGATTTGAGCTTCCTGGAAGTTTTGTGTACACTTTCAAATATTTTCATTAATAATTGGTTTGGGTTTTCTTCCTGTTATTTCTATTCTCCAAAATAAAGATTTGAGTCCATCTCGCCATTTGTTTCAGCATTTATAATTATGTAGGATGAATACAAAATGGTGTAGGGAACCGTTCTCTTCTAGTAATAGGAGCTTTTAAAAACAGTATGTGACCTGACAGGAACGCAAACTTGACCACAGTTTTCTGTAATTTTTCAGACTCCAGCAAGAATTTCACTGAATGGGTCAATATTTACCAGCAACTTTACTGTCATCCTCTTTGGACATGTTTCTTTTCGTGACATATTTGCCTGCCTACAACTCTATGCCACCTGTAACACCCATCCTCATTTAGAAATCGACTTCCAGCATTCTTTGCCTTCACTTCATTCTCTGGGAATTGCCAGAGAGAACCAGCTGAAGGTGTCAGCCATGAGAAGTGACAAGTACAAGGGCATCCTTGGTGTTGTCCTTGGGCCTTGCACTTTGGAAGCTGATGGGGAAGTGAGCCTGGCAAGCAATGAGACACGATGGCTACTTGCTTTTAGAAACAAGTGCGTCAGTTTAGAGGTAAGCCCAGATTGTTTTCTGCATGCCCTTCCAGTCTGTGTATTTCTGATCACTGAGTCACAGAAAACTGTCTCCTCACACATTTATGGATAGGTCAGATTTGGTCATTAAAGTTCTGACAGAGCAATGAGTCAGAGCATTTGCAGCGGGAAGTGGTAATTTGGAGTAATACAATGGTAGTGTTACTGCTGTTGCCATGAAAATGTTGCTTAATAATAGTTTATTAAGTAAAATAAACTTTTGTCCTGAAATCTAGAGAAAAGCATGTCCTTTCAGTTTGGAATTGTGGAGGTTAAGATTTTTTTCTTCTACATTAATTATGAAAAAATTATTCGAGGATTTATTCTTCTTCTTTCCCCCCTCCCACCCATTTAGCTTTTTTTCAGGTTTTTCACAGAGAAATTTCTGATTTCTCTATGAAAGAAACTGTCTTGTGTGGTCTTTTCCAAACATAGATTGTTTCAGAAAGAAGGAATGCTTTCTTATGAATTTAGAACAAATGAGAAGACAGTTGCTTTGCTTTGTGTGTTTTAAACAGTAATCTTTTCTGTTGCAGAGGATGGGATTGCCTCGTGCTGCAGTCTTGGGGGGCTCATTTCAACAGAACATCTGCAGCGTGGGCTTGTTAATGAACCTGCAGTGTGATGGCAGAGCAGTGGATGTGCAGATAGACACCTCCTGCCAGCATGAATATACACTCCAAGGGATGCTCAGGCATTCAATTCCCTGGCTCAGCCAGCTTGGGCTGCCTTTTGAAAACTCAGTCCTGTTCTCTGCAGCCACAGACTCCACCACAGAGGGCATTTTCCTGCTGCAGGCTGGCAGATGCACGCTGAGGGCTAGAGGGGATCTCTGTATTCAGAATAAAGCTGACTGGACACTGGAAACAGAAACAGAATGTCAACTTCTGCAGGTAGCTCTGGGAAGCTTCTAAAGAGAGTTTGGGGATCATATGAAGGCCTTGTGGGTTCTAGCTAACGTGACACTGCTGGAGCGTTGGGAAGGCACTCTAAAGGCACGCCTGTCCCACAGCATCAGGCAAAGGCAGTGTCTCACACATCCTGTTCCCAGGTGCTCACTGGAGACTGAGATCAGTTCAGCCTTTGCTGACTGCTGCCTTCGCAGGCCGACACTGCCCTCTAAGGCTGAACAGCAATATTAGCCTCACATTCCCTGGTCTGTGAGGATTATATCAACAGGGAACTTCCTTTTTTTTTTTCCAGTTAGCCTCACTGACTACATTGGAAAGAATGACAATTGCAAAATCTGGGCTTTTTTCCTAGATGTTCACAGGCATTTATATTTTGCTTTCAAATCCCCAAACTGAGTAACTTCCTCAATTACAAAGTGGCAATATAAAAATGACAGCAAAGTTATAGTGAAAAGGGAATGAAAACCCCTTAAAGTATTAAAAAATAGTATAATTTTCAGTGTTTTTAGAAATCCTTTGACCGAATGGGAAGAAACCTTTCATTTGGGATGTTATACAAGACAAGCTGGAAGTTTAATTATTAAAAAAAACAAACCTTCTGCAACCAGGTGAAAGAATGTCTGTTAGGCCTATGAATTTTTTATACGTTAATTTGTATGAAAACTGAGATTGTTGTGGTCTGGATGAAGCATAGAATGTTTAGTAAACTTTGCCAATCTGAAGAAACAAGTATTTTGTATTTTTTGTAAATGTAAGACTGGGTAAAGATGCAGAAGCTGTGAATTCTGCAGGATAGTTCTTAATTCTTCCATTATGCCCTATTCAGGAAAAATCACCATCTTTCTTGCTGAGGGGGAGAAAGATGGCAGCTTGGAGATTGTAGGTTTTGTCTCTGATACTGTATCATATAATACACACTTGTCTTAAAGTGTTTGTATGTTCCAAAGGATTTTTTGTTTAAATCTTGACAGGATCTCAGTTTCCCAACTCAGGCACGGCTCACAGGATCCTTTCAGAAAGACAAGTGCCAGGCAGAGCTGCTCTCTGTCCTGGAAACAGAAGGCAAAACTGCCCGTCTTGAAGTGAGAGCAGAGTGCAAGCCAAAGGTGGCTCTGGAAATTCAATTCAGGCATGACCTCCCCCAGCTGAAGGAAATCCCAAGGGAAAATGAGCTGTCCATCACTGCACGGAAACACTTAAAATATCTTCTTGGAGTTGGAATGAAACTGGGTGCCTGTGAGCTTCAAATGAATGGGGACTTTGACCCTGAAAAGAACCTGCAGTGGAAAATGCTTATAGAAAACAAATGCCAAACAATTCAGGTATGGAAAAGAATTTTCTCCTTTAAGGTTAAATTTATACATCTAAGCTACGACCTTTGTACCTGCTAAAGTCAAAAGACAATAATCTAAGTATTTCAAAGAGGTAGCAGAGAAAGAAGAAAAAACATTCTCTTTAAATGTTGCATCTTACTTCTGGAGCCAGTCATTCACTGTATTTTCTTATGGCATACACCAGATTTTCTTTTAATCAGTACCTGCAGATAGTGGATTTGCTTGTACTAGCTCTGATATGTTTTCTAAAACATGGTTGAGAAATCTGCAGGGTTTTTCTGTTCAGAAATAATGATTATTCAAAGTTGTCTTTGGCTTTATCAGCAGTTACAGTTTCTCAGCAGTTTGAGAAACAAACTCTGAAATAGTCTTAAAATATATGAAGTAAATAGATAATCTTCAGGTCAGAAAATTCAGTGTATGAAAAGTTTGAGAGACATGTTATCACATTATGATCTGTGGATTCAATATGAAAGTCAGGGTAAATCTGAATATACAAAGATGAAATTCACTTGCCCTTTCCCAAAAACAGAACTGCCATAATAAACTTAAGTATACTGTCTGATTTCACTGAATTTATGGATGCTTTGGGTCACTGGGACAATGCCAAGCATAGAATATCAATTAACTTTTCATTTAGGCAGGAAGAGCAGCCACATTGTCCAGTGTTCTATTTATCCTAACTCATTTATCAAAAATAATTAGGCATATTCAAAATAAAAAAGACAGCATTTATAAAATGTATTAAAAAGCTCTCAAGATTTTGGAAACATCCTTTGCCTATGCTGCCTGATATACTTGATTTTACAGCTAGGTGATTAAAGTTACTATTAGAGCTATAATGTATTTGTGGTTAAGTGCAAAAGTGGTGATTTGTAAAAGTTTTTTCTTTCTTTTACAGGATATTGGAGCACCAATGAAAATTGATGGCTCAGGCCATCTTTTGATGGATAAAATGAACCTGGATTCACAGACACTGATCACTGTTGATGAAAGTAAATTCCGAGGACTCTTTATACTAAAAGTCACTGATGTGAGTACCCTGCAGGCTGTTGGAGTGTGTGAACAAAGTGCTGGGTAATGTACTTTAACCTATGTTATTTGGAACAAATAGTCAAGCTTAAGTAATAAATGCCAGAATAAAAATTAAATAATAAAATGTTTGAAAATCTGGCACCTTCAGTGTGCAGTAACCAATGCCTAGGATAATAGGATATAGACTCTGGCACTTCCTGAATAATTTCCTTGTTATGTTCTTTGTGTGCAAATTTTTGTTGTTTGTATTCTGTCTTTACATCACTGTGATTTACCCTGCAAAATAATAGGCAGTGATTAATTGAGACACTGCTGTTTGTTTATTCAGTGAGACAGCAACACAGGGAAGGCTGTGAATCTCTTGCTTTTCTGTTGACAATTATAAGTTTGGATTCTCTTGTCATCAGAGCAAGAGAGCAGAGAACAACACAAATACCTCTTTCCTCAGGATGTTTCACTTTTCTGCCATAACTGGTAATTTCTGTATGTTTCTGTGCCATAGAGAAACAACATAGCTAGTGGGAGTTTAATTCGTGTTAAATGTAGGACAGACAGATTTCTGGTTTGAGCTCTGTATTGCAGTGATCTTTGGGTTCTACACGTGCTTTGCTCTCTGCTGTGAAATACTAACAGGAAAGGCAAGAGCTGGATGCAGTGCTAACCCATAACATCCAAGGAGCTGCTGACATTGGCATTCCCATGAGGATGTTACTTGATGTGATATCAGAAAAAAACAGTGACTTCTATAAAGGATTTATTCATTTCTGTGTGAACAACAAGCAAGTAAGTGTCTTCTCCATATCAGTAATATGTGAAATAGAAGTTGAAGTGAGCTAATTGATTTGGTAAATATTGTTTCTGCAGACAATCCCAATGCAATACTTTGCTGGGGCTGGCTTAGTTCTAAAGGCCTTAATTAAATGAAGGCAGTATCTTTCAGCCAGTCCTTCTGTGCAATTGCTCCTTGCAACAAATTTGACATCAGCAATGATCCTTGACTCTCGTTTGTAAATTATACCAAACCTTCCTTATCAAGAATCTTCACTTGGTGCAGCATATTCCCTTTTACAGTACAAAGCTGTGACTTCTAACAAAATTAGACAGTTCTTCACCATAAAGTTTTCATCATTTTCATAATTTTATTCTAATGTGTAATTAGTCCAATGATTACGGTTATTCAGAGAAGTCTCCATGTCAGAGATATGCCACAGTTAACTTTTGTCATATTTACTTGGACTGAGCAGATTACAGAAGAACTGAACTTTGTCCAGAAGTTGGATGTTGTATCTCTTAATTACAAACTTACTCATAACATAGACACATTGAAGACTTTGCAAATAAAAGACAAGATTGAGTTGCAGGTAGGTTATCAACCTGAAGCCATGGCACAAGAGGGGGACAGCAGCTGGGGAGGTGAGATGGCAAAGAGCAGCGGGTGTAGATGGGACTTCACACGTTTGCTGTTTTGGTGAAGGGGAGTCCAGGTGCTCCTTTTGTTCTTGATGGGAGTTCAGAAGCTCAGTTTGTTCTCGCTAGAGAACAGTTATTCTCCTGTTCTCAACAGAGCAATAGTTTAGACCAGGACTTTCCACAGGCCTGGGGCTGGAGGTTGTTCCCAATGTGGAGTGAGAGGAGGGCACTGCATTTGTGTGTCTGACATGCTGCAGTGTCCCCTGGACGCAGAGGGGAGCACTGCTGGGATTTCACTGAGTCCTTTCCAAATGGTATTTTCCTTCTGAACTCTGATTACCTGGCATATATTTTTAATCTGAGAAACACAAGACTTATTAACCATGTAACTGAATAGCATTAAAACATGGCCATACATGAGAATACATGTTAAATGGTTGAATTCTAAAATAAAAGGGACATTTATAACTATGTTGTGTTATGTTATAAAATGATACAAGATGCATCTTTGACACATCTTTGAGATTATACTGTCTCAACCAAAGAAAGAGCCCTGACCAGCAGGAGCTTTAACTTATACAATTCTGTCTTTTCACAATTCACTTTTGTTGCACACAGGCTATCTTGAACCTCAAAGTCACCAGGAGCTTTAGTTTGAAAGCGCTTTATGGTGCTCACCTAACAGTTCTTGAAGGACAAATTCAAGAATTTGAAACAATTACCAACATAACAGGGAATTTCCATCACTCTTTGCCATGGCTGCTGCAAGCCAGAGTCCCATCATCTTTACAGGTAGTTTTGGGGTTTTGTTTGTTTGTTTTTAATTATAATAATTGTCCTGTATAAGGATGTAATTCAAGCTCATGGCTTGAATGAAAACTCCCGTTTTGTAAGGTACAGGATGAAAGCTGAGATTTTCTGATATTTAGAAACTGTGGATGCCCAAAACCTGAACTACTGAAAGTTTCTCCTTGACTGCTTTCTGAATGAGATTCTTCCATTCTGATCAGTGGTGGTAGAGTGGGCACTAGAGTGGTAGTAGAGTGTTGGGTAGAGTGGTGGTAGAGTGTTGATATTGTAACTCTGCAGGACAGCTTGAACACATTGCACCAGGGACTGGAGTATTGCTCCTATGCTCTTTAATAGGAATTTTGTACTGAAAGAAGTATTTCTTTGCATGCTATTTTCAGAGAAGTATTGGAGTACCTACTGTCTGGTAAATATTGTCAGTAGGTGTATATTAAGTATCTTTTAGAAGAAGGAAGTTGTGTTTGTGGGATAAAAAAGAACCTAATGAAAATTTGCCATAGATCAGTGAGGCTGGCATGGCTTGACATTCATTCAGTTGAATGAGCTTCATACTTGAAAGTCAAAGATGATTAATGAAAGGCCAAGAGACATTTTGTTAATGGATAGATTTTGACATAAGTGTAGACTAGACAGAACTTTCTTTCACTTCCATTTTCTCCTGTCTTAAAACAAAATAGTATTTAAATATTGTTTTGAGAACTTATATTTACATGTCATTTTTAGATAGATGTGGTTTTTCAAGGGAGAAACACTACTCAAGAGAGGTATGTGCACATTGCAGCTGGAGAAACATCTATCACATACATAATAAACTCCTATTATGTTGGCCACCAAGTGGATCTCTTCTGCCAGAGTGTGCACAGCAGTGAGGTACTCCAGGCATCAGGCTACCCTAAGGCAATCAACTTGATTTTCAGTTTACAGAAATCAGGTGGGTACCAGCCATTCCTGGCAGGGTTTTTATTCTCTAATGGCTCTATGAGGATGTTTCAGCTGTTCCTTCAACAGCTACAAACTGACTAAGATTTGCTGGTAGTACCTGAAAAGAGGCTTTATCTTGTTTGTAAGTAAACTTGTCTTTCTGAAACTGCATCTGTGATTAGCTGATCCAGTCTACCCTCAAAGTTTGCCCTGGCATAAATCCTATCTGCATTTCTCTCTTACACTGTGATCAGGTACCTTAAGTGCCCCCAGGGGAATATATTCATGTAGAAGAAAACTCAACAATTGTGAGAGCACCAAAGGGCAGGAGTTACTGAGATGAGGTTAGCAGGCACTGAATCAATACTAATGTGAATGGCATCATCTCTTTTCACCTGTTCAGGAAAAAGCAACGGGATGAGAGGTCGTTCTCAGGACAGCCACAGTCACCATGTGATTTCCACCATTTCTGTGGGTTTTGTCTTATCTTAAAGAATTTACAGGGTTTCACATCTCTTATCTCGCTTTGATCTTCTAGCAGTCTCATATTTTCCTTTTCAAAAATGAAAAGCTGGTAGGACAGTGGGGAAAGGTCTTCAGGTCATGTTCTTTGGGCATTGTTGAGCTGCTGCAGCTGGAACCAAAGGAGTCACTGGAGGTCAGAAGAGCTCAGATCTCTTCCCTGGAAGAGGCTGCTGCAGGCCAGGGATGCAGTTGGCTGTATGGATTAGTCAGCTCTAGCTGCACAAACACATTCCTGACAGGAACTAACTTGCCACTTAACACTGGATGTGGGTACACAAGCACTGTTACCACGAGACTTTGTAAGGACAAAGTTCAAGGACATCCAGAAAAACTCTGCCCTCCTCCAACCACAGGCTGAAGTTCTTGTAATCCTGAATGATGACTTTGTCTTGATGAATGTATTAAGCTAAAAGCTGGCTGGGTTGATTTTATGCAGGCAGTACTGAAATTACTCAAAAATTAGCTGCTCAAATTGGCACTATTTTGTCCCTTCTGTATAGAAAACAAAGCCAAGACTGTCTGTGAAATCCAGTATGATGAGAAAGATATAACTGTGACTGTGGATGTTGATACAGACTTTGAACTCTTTGGTATATTTGTGTTCATGGCAGAGGTGAAGCATTCAATATCACTTCTCCATCACCTGGGACTTCCCTTCTTTCTTAAGGTAATGCACCACAAAACTTTTGCTGTGCTTTGATGAAAGCTGTCACTTGAGTTACATTTGCTTAATCCAGAGCACTTCCAGTGGCCTCAGTGAAATTACTCCAGGTTTATATGTAAGTGCAGCTGAGAGCTGACTTGGCCTAGTTTATCTGAATCCTCATTTAACTTAAGTACAGAGCTAGTGGTCTGTTTCTAAGGAACCTGGTCAGGTACCTGAAATCCCCATTTTCAGGGTTAATTATTTCAGGAATGCATGTATTTACTATCACTTTGCAGCTGATAGGGCTCACAAAAGTAGAAAGAACTTTTGGTAGAAAACAGCTGTCCTTCATACCTAGAGAACTCCTTGCCTTGGTTAAACCACTTGTAGCACAAATACCTAAAATGCTTCAGTGTTGAATAAACAGAAGTAGATTTATGTTCCAAACTACTTGATAGGATAAACAAAGGCTGTGTTTCTTTATCCCTTGGGAGAAAGAAGCATTAGTTGAAATGTCCCCTTCCCTTTTGAAGGGTAGTACACAGAAAAACCCTTCCAAGTGATCCACCACCTTCTCTTCAAATAACAGGACATGTAGCTAGGATGCAAGAGTAAAGGTCAACATAAACATTAGATCAATATTAAACCTGCATATTAAGTATCAGTGTTTCAAGGGAATATTTACTACCAACCTTTTATTGAAAGGTATAAGATATTTTCACTGCTTCTTCCCCATTAATATTTAGTGAAATGTCTTTTATCCTCTAAATGTTTGAATGAAAAAAAGAAAAGCAGAGGTGGTAATTCTTGAGGTGCCTTATTCATTTATAAGGTATGAGTATAACCAGGGGCCTTCACAAATTACTGTTCCCACAGACTTTGGCAAATACCAGTGTTGCTGTTGAAGTGTGGGAAATGGCCCTCAGCTTTCCCAGAGAGATTCTTTAGCATTTTCAGGATAAGGCTGTAGATGATGCAGCAGCTGTGGGAGAAATGCCCTGGAGCAAAAAATCGGTGGATCCTCCTCTGTTTCTTTAAAAAAATAATAAAAAGAAAGCACAATTTCTTTCTGGTATATGAAACATGAGATTGTGGGAGACATAAACAAGAACCAGTAGCTTTAGACTTAAACCAAATAAGAGTACATTGAAAGTAACACTAGTATTTGTCAATAATGCAAATGAGTAGCTATGGAAACACACACACAAAAAATGAAAACCTCTCATGAGGCTCTTGGTTTACGTGTAGGAAGCACCCAGAAGGCCTGTCTGGAAGATAAACTTCAGTCAAGATGATGGCTTTAAGTGAGTCAAGAGATTGTGCTCATTTGAAGTGAAATGATGGGTAGAAGTTATGGCATGTGATTTGTTTATTTTCTCCCTCCACAGATGACAATTCAAGAAGTCATGACTGAAAATGAAACTGAAGGTGCTCTGAGGCTGACCTATGAACAAAACAAAAACTTCTCCTTTTCCATCAGTAGGAAAAAAGACCAGCAAGGGTAAAAGGGTCATTCTGAGCTCTGTAAAAAATGTCATTAGGCCACTGTGATTTCCATGGAATATAGTTACTGTATTAATAACCAAATCACTGGTGAAATGGATAACAAAACTTGGATAAAGTGAGTAGTCACACCAAACACTCTGTAAACCTCAGGGAGTTTCTGAAGGGCTGCAGACAGATTCTTCCCTTCACAGCCTGGGACCTGTCTCTGCCTGCCCACACAGAATCCAAGTAGCAGACAGTGAAAGAGTCTGCAAAACTCTAGACCTGGACCAGACAAGTACATAAAAATATAACTTAACTTGACATAAATATTTAAATCTTATTAAATTGTTTTGGCACAGTTGAAACTTGTAAAATTATGGTGACTTGGTTTTCTAAGTTGGCGTCAGTATGGCTATATCTACACAAAACTGTAGGCTTTTAAGGGTGTTTAGAGGTGTGATATTTTTAGCCTTGGGATATTCAGATTTTTCTTAAGTTTCTAGCAAAAGACCTTTGCACTGAAAAGTCTTGTACGTTCTGTTAAAATCTCTAATCATTGTAAATTCTAAGTTTATAAACCATGACAGTGCTTGCAAAGTCAGAGTCCAAAATACCTTTCTCATTTTTAAAAAGTGGATGCATTTGCTATGGCAAAATGATTTCTGGTTCAATGGGCTACATTCTGTCCCTGGGGTGCATACATAGATTTTCTATTGAGGTCATTTTGTGTGAATGTATCAAAAACTGGGAGCTGGGTTAAGTGTTCAGTGGCAGGTGCTGCCATTTTAACTCTAAAAGCTGTGGCAGACTTAGAGCTAACTCAGATGAACTTGTGCTGCCAGCAAGAGGGGACTTTGTAAAATATTGTTGAACAAGAGAACATTTCTTCCCTTTAGTGAAGAATTGAATATAAAAGCACTCCAGACTCATCCCTTCTTTCTACAGTACTTCCCCTGTGCAGCACAACTGTCTTCTAAGGTAACTATCTGCAAGAAATCCATTGTATCCATCACTGCAAAGTAGACTTGTCTAATATGTTAGGAGTCAAGCTGCTTTATTTCTAGTTCTAGTATCTAACATTTTTGTTATTGTTGAGGATGTTCCTGTTTTTAAAGATGTTAACAATCCCAGTCTTTTCCTTTTTTTTTTTTAATTTAATGGGAAAAGGTAAATTATGATATGAGTGAAGCAAAAGGCAAGCTCTACATCAGGATGGAAAAAAGGGATTTCAACGTTTCAGCAAAGCTAACTTTGACTGGAAGCAGCTACACTAATGCCATTGAAGTGGCACAGACCATGGCCCAGGTTGGTACCATCCCCTGATAGCAAAGGCAGGCTGTGACAGGAGGGCACTCAGGGGGTGGCTGCCAGGCAGTGAAGGCCAAATGCAGCTCCTGCTGTCTGAGGTGTTCTGCCCTTGATTTCTCCAGTAGCATGAGCAAACATTAGACTGTGGACTAGTCTGAGTTTATATTTGTTTGCTCCCATAGATGGAGCACTCATATAGGATTTACTGGAAATAAAAAAAATAATGTGCTACAAACAGAACCAGTTTCTATAATGTAGGTACCACACATTTCTTTCTCTAAATAAGAAAAGACATCACAAATACCTATTGTTGTTTGTGCTATCTGCTGGATTTATTCTGTAATAGTGGGACTCTTGATGTTGTAAGGTTTATTCTGTGAGATAAAAGAAAATCAAACTGTATAATAATCAAAGACTGTTGTATAGGGAATACTCGGTTGTTTATGTATGTTCCATTATTTGCAAAGACAGCTTTCTGTAGAAATGAAGAAAAGTAGAAATGAATAGTTGCTCATATGAGCAGTGGGCTTAGAGTATCATTGCACTAGACCTTTAAAAACACATCCCTACAGACCCCACAGGACTTTGGGGTACCAAAATTACACTCAGGTTTTACCTTCTCCAAGAACTTGGGGTTTGATGTTTGCTCTCTTTTATTTTTAGTTAAAAATTCTTCCAAGGCAACTTGTGTTTATGACAATTTACCAAAAAGGCAACAGAACTCATCTGCTGAGGCACATTGCCCTGTGGGATGGCAAAGAGATAAAGCTAACAGGCACTTATACTGGACCCTTCCCAAAGCTGCCTGGAGGCCATGGCATTCAGGGTAGGTTTCTCAAGTCTTTCACAAGTGTTCAAAGCAGACTATAAAATAAACTACATAAATCTTATTTCAAAATGAATATTCAAAATGCATGTCCAAAGTGTTTCAATCCTGGTTTCAATTTAGGGCTTCTAAGGTCTTATTTGCTTTAAATTCATTATAGATCTGGCTGTCAGAAACATCCACCTCAGAATTCTCTTTCTGCTTTGTGACTATGGAACATAACACTTATGTACTGGGTGCTGAAAGGAGCACTGGTCACACTGGCTGCTACCTTGATGTGTTAAACCCTTATGTTGAGACTATATGATCTGAAAATAGAGAAGATAACTGCACTTACCTGTTTGAGTGTTGTAAGCTGTTCCTCTTCCAGTGTAAGGCCATCTCAGTTTCACACAGATTATTTCCCTGGTTATTGTTGCTGAAGTTGCTCCGGGTGTAGCTGTCAATCTTTTGGTTATTGCAGGTAACTACTGTTCTGCTGGTAAATAGAGAGGTTCCTGTTCTCACATTTCCTCATGTTGAGCAGACATCAGCACACTGAATTCCTTGTGGCTGCTCGGCAGGGGTGTGTGTGTGTGAGCAGAGACCACGTTTCCCTGGGAACCAGGGGGTGTCCTGCTGCCTGTGGGAAAATGTCCTGGGAAGGGTCATGATTCCTGGTGGGAAATCTTGTTTGTTTTTCTTGTAGTGGAACTGCTCCATCCTCTCTCCATCCCTTTTCCACGGCGTGCCTGGGCCAACTTGTATGTGAAACATTCAGCACGAAGTCACCAGGATGTTCTTACTGTCATTTGGAATGAGAAGGACAAGGTACAGTGGCCTACAGCAAATCAATGTCAGAGGGGTATCAAGAGGGTTTTAGTTTTTTTAATTAAAAAAGGCACTAAACAAGCCAGGGAATTCGAGTATAAGGCAAACTATCCCCCTTCTTGGGTGTATGAAAAGTTCTGACTGTGAAAGCTGAGTAGCTGATATTCTTGTAGAAAGTATTTTCAGGCCATAGTATTTTTTTGTTTGCAGTAACCCCACACCTTGCTCCTTAACCAAAGGTAACGAAATGCATAAGCTTCAAAGCACTGGGTAAAGGCCCCTGAGAGTAGGTGGGAAGAATAGCACAAATGTCATGCTTAAAGCAACTTGTGGACAAAGAACTAAAATCAAAGACAAGTGAGCGAGTGTGAGCATTAGTTGAGATTGAGAAGGATGAAGAAAACAGTCTCTGTTTTCATAAAGTAAGTCATCACTATTTTTTAAAAACATAAAGAGTAGAAAAGACAGAACTTGGAGAACATAGGGGGTAGGTTGATTTCCAGATATGGTTAAGTGGTGTTACAGGTAATAAACGATAAAGCTGAATAATAATTAATAAAATAGGTTTTATTTTGTGACCGAGATTCGGTCTCCAATGGCCACAATCAAAGGGACAGGGCCGAGCCCAGGATCTGCGCTGGGTGAACTCTGATCCGAACTCTACCACTCCGGATCCCCTCTGTTCACAAAGGTTGTCCCTGTCTGGGTAGTTTTTATACAGTTTTTTCTGCCTGGGGCAGAGTTTCCCCTATTCTTTTCATGGCTGCACATATTCATGTAGTCTCCTTTCTCTGTGCTGGGCTGGACAAAACATTTCTGGGAAGCGATCAGTAGAGTTAAGGGAACCTGGTATTGGAATGCATGCTCCTGACCACTCTGGCTATCTCGATGTAGATACTGATCGTGTATTCATCACTTGGGTGTTTCCTGGACTGGCCCGGAAAGGGCCCATCTCCGCAGGGGCCACATCTTTTCGTTAATTAGGTCTTTCTCTCCGCTGCCATCTGTGCTTTCGCAATTTGTGAAGCAATCTCCTCTGGGCTCCGGCTTGTGGGTTTAAAACTTTAAGAATTTTTCTTACAAGCATAACTTATTTCATGTGTATTTCACACAAGCACGAATTATTCCAAATAATATATTACTGTGGGGACACTTTCCTGACTTGCTGCTAACTGTGCTATCTTTACGTGTGCATCTGAAATGCAGCACCTTGGCTGAGTATTGCATTATTTTCTGAATAATGGAAAGATAGAAGACAACGTATAAAGTATGCTACCACAATAAACATAAATGTGCCTGCAAAGAGCACATAATTCTTTTATTTATTTAAAAAGTGTTAAAATTCCAAAATTTACTTTAGCAGTTGTATAGAATATATTTTTACTACTTCTCAAATTACCACAGTTATTAAAATCCCACCACTATCTAAGTTACCACAAAAATATTTTGCTCTCAATAATGTAGCAGAATTTAGTTCTTGATGAAGCAAATACTTTTTCTTGTGCTTTAACTTTGTAAGCTGTGTCCAATGATTCTATGGCAGTGCAGCCTGTAGTGCCTAAAGATGAGATCAAAATTAAGTTTCAACAAACTTAAGCATTGCTCATTATTTTAGTAAAATACAGAGAGTAGTTCTGCTTTGAACTGTGCTATGCAGGGAATTCAAGCAGCAAAAATTGTCCTAATTTTACCATTAATTTGCCTCACTTCTTCAGAAGGGACTTTATTGTGCACGTAATTCATCTGAGGACAAGGTACAGGGAAATCTTACTGGGTGCATGTTTGAGGTCAGTATGTGAGAGGTGTTTTATTTCACAAGTTCCTTTTCCATCTGTTAATATGGATCAGATATCAGTGTCATCTTCCCTGAAGATTGGAAGACACCGGACAAGCTACAGAGCGACTCTTGCCCACCCATTTAATTACACTCTGAAGCAACTGGAGGTGCATTCCCTGGCAGAAAGAAGGGGCAGGAAGTACAACCAGCAGGTGAGAACATGAGGCTGGGCTGCAAAACACACAGCTGATACTGCATTTACTGTGAGTGTGCCTTTCATCCCTGAGAATTGCAGAACCAGAAATCATCCTGAAAAATGTAAAGAGCACTAAGTGCTCTTGTTATCTCCTTGTGTCCAAGGTTATCTCCTTGTGTCCAAACCACCAGCACTGTTTCCTAGCCAACAGTCTTGCACTTTTAGTATTGACCCATTTTGGATGGGAGGAGCCCAGAAGTGCCCAGGAATCTGTCAAGCAATGAATATGGGGCAAATTTTGTCCATAAAGCAATGAACAAACTCCTAGTTTGCACATACAAGACAAAAAACCAAACAAACAAAAAACAAAAAACAAACAAAAAAAAAAAAAAAAAAGGCAAAAAAAAACCCCCCACAATAAAACCAAACCAGAAACTCTTTGATACCCCTCTGAAGAAAAGCTAAATTTTTAGATTGTATAGGAAATTGCAATACAAATGTGAAAATGTGCAAGACTAGAATGGCTTTAAACTATCGTTTAGAAATGCACTTGCAAAGCATATATAGGGAAAAAGAGGAGGAGGAACTCTACAAATCATCCTTCCAGATCTAATACTGCAGTATAATTTCTGTCTGACAATGAACTGTGTGGGTCAGGACACTGCTGCTGAGGCTGAAGGCTTTCAGCAATAAGCTGTGCCAGCTGTGCAGTGTTTGCTGTCTGAAGCCCTTTGGTGCTCAGGGGGGTTTGCACAATACTCAGTATGGTTCCAGAATCACATTCAGAGGAATAAATTCTCTTGTAGGGTCATTATTGCGGTTGTGCCATTGGTTGCTTTGCATGACGGACCCAGGCAGCTTCCAGAGAGGGTGACAAAAGCCTTCCATGGCCTTGGTTGCAGAAGTGCAGCTTCCCTGGGTTTGTCTCAGGCCTGGAGCTTCCAGACCCCTGAGTTCCACAGAGTTTGAACATGGCTCTGTGGCAGCTTTCACAGTGGCTCTGTTTTCCTCCACTGGATGGGGATCATTCTGCTGGTTCTAGTCTTGCTGCTGGACAAATCCTTCTCTGCTTTCAGCTGCAGGTCTCAGGGAATGCTGGGCAGCCTGCTCACCTCCAGCTGGGGCTGGAGGATAAATCCAAGACGGACATCAGTGCCTGGGGTGGCTGTGTGACACTCTCTGCAGGCCAGGTATGAGTCTTCAATCCCTTGGAAGGGATGAGTGTAGCTGAATTTCCGTGTTTGATCCTCACAGAATGATTTTTTTTTCCTGTACTTTTTACCATATGAAAGCCTTGAAGTCAATCTTTTTGTGTCTCAAAGGAAGAAAAAGAAATGCTGTGAAAAATTCTGTTTCATGTTGCCAGACATGGCTGTGCTTGGGCTGCAGCTTTCCCTGAGGACAGTGCTGTAAGCCCCTCAGGTTTCATGGGTATAGACCACCCAGGGGTTCTCACAGGGTGTGTTTTTGCCCAGGAAACCTGCTGCCCGAGGATATACTGAACACTTTTGAAAAAATTACTTATATGTGTCAATTTCTTCCACTTTTCCAGCTTAAGAGAATATTAAGCATGGAACACCTGCATGCATGTGGGTCTCTAGAGCAAAGACCAACACTGTTTAATGAATACCTAGATCTGAACTGGGATGACAAAAAATTCAAACACAATTTCACGTATGAGGTAAGACAAGGCAGTTGTATCTGTTGACTCACCATTTTTATGGAAGCTGTTCTCAATAGATCAGGAGTTATTTTGGTTTCAGATGTAATGTTGAGTGGATTTTAAGAAAGCTTCTATAGAGCACTATTTTTTGTGAAATATCGTTATTTCACTTTACCTTTTACATTTTTCTGTACACAGGAAGAAAGCTAAATGGAGCATAGTCAAGAAAGAAAGGGCTCTTACAAACTAGAGGCCTCACCTGTGCCCTAAATTTGCAAAACTTGTAGGATGGGGACGGGTAACAAGGCTGATAAGCCAAAACATTGCCAAATGGAAATGTTATGTTTTGGAAATGTTACATTCAAATGCTAAAGCTACTGGAATAACAAAAGTCAGCCCAGGGATGGGATGAGTGGGCTTCAAGGAGTACCTAAGATCTTCTTGTCATCTTTTAACTTTGTTTTCTTCATTCATTTGCAGAGAAATCAACTCTTGTATCCTGATAAGTTTCAATTAGAAGCTGTTCTGGAAAATATTTTCCTGACCCCATGTGCCAAACAGAAGATTCTGGGTAAAATAGAAACAAACTACTACTCTTGCCTGGATTACTATACAAGCTTTGAGTTCTGTGACCTTCCAAATGTAAGTCTGACATAAACACACTGAACCTACTTCAGTTTAAATGTAATTACTCATTTGAAGGTTCCATTTTCCTCAGCTGCAACTCTTCAGAAGACTTACCATACTTCTGTAGCTTAAATAAATGAACAGTGTCATTTGATGGACTGAGGCAGAAAGGTTCTGTTTGCTACTATAGTGTGTTCTGTAGGTCCTTTTATGGTTGTAAACATTCTCACTTCCTCTGTGTTCTTTCTTTTCTGTTCCTCTTTCAGAGGTATCTTAATTTTATGTTTCTGGAGAATATCAAAACAGGCTCATAAGTGATCAAAAAGGAGACTAGGGAGGAGTAAAAGTGCTTTCCTTCCCCTGTGGGTAAAAGTTTGCTGGTTTTTATGATTTCTCTGCTGGTAGTGATGGATTTTTGAACTGTAACCTTATTTTTCTATTACACACATAAACTGAAGGCCCACCCAGGATCTTCCTTAGGTGCATGCTGGTCCTCAGAATTGCTTGTAGACACTCAAAACACAGAACTTGGAACCTGCAATAGTTCCCAGTGGCTGAAACACATCTTGGTTTCCTTATTTAGTGTCAGAGAAGATCACACTCTGTTAGCAACAGGAAACCTTCTTCCCAGACCGTGTGATAGAACTGTTTATAATGCAAAGGATTTATATTTGCATGTCACTCCAAAAGCAGGTACCTCCGTATTTTTGGATCATTCTCTTCAAAGGTATCATGGTTTAAGCCCAGCTGGAAATTAAGACAATAGTTACTACTGCTACTACTAGTGAAAAGGAAAAAAACTGAATGAAGTGATGCACAAAACAGTTGCTCATCACCCCCTGCCCAATGCCAGACCCACCCCCCCCCCCCCGCTTCCCAAACCCAGATTTGCCTCTTCCAGTAACTCCCCCCAGTTTATGTACTGCACATGATGTTCTGTGCTGTGGAAAATCCCTTTGGCCATGTTGGGGCATCTGTCCCAGGGGGGTTTCTGTGCACCTCCTCACTGGCAGAGCAGGAGGGACACACAAAAAAGTCTTTGACTTAAGATAAACAACTGAGCAAAACCAAAACATCAGTGTGCAACCAACCCCATTCCCATTCCAAATCCCAAACTCTACCAGGTATTGAGAAGAAATTAACTCTATCCCAGTCGAAACCATATTCACTTCACCTCCCATGTATCCCCAACTTTATCAAAATGTCTGGCTAGAGTAGCTGAGAAGTGTAGGAGCAAAAAACATTGGACATTTTAACAAAATCTAGTTCTCTGCAGCTGTTCCTCTGGTCTTAGGGTGCAATCACTGAATGTGCTTTGTTAGAGCACAGAAACTGAAGATGTAATGAAGACAGTGCTGAGGAGCAGGAAGATGTGCTGGTTTCTGAAACTACAAGTTGTGTTAGTGGTGTAATTTCATGAGAATGCTGGCACTGTACAACTTGCTACTCAAAGCAGAGCCCATTTGTTTGGAAAAATTTGGAAGCTTTAACACCTTTTTTGTGCATACTTAGGTTATTGTTTTATCTGGAAAGCACCAGCTCAACACAGATGACATAATTTTGCAGTCAGAGGGCAGATTCCACCTTGCTGATCATGGGAGAGAGGCTGGATTGATTGGAATATCCATAAAGAATCAGAGCACTGCAGATGTGAAGAACTATTCTCTGGAAATTGAAGTGAGTCTCTATTTTATTTTACTGGCACTGGGGTTTGATTTTCAAAGGCCTGCAGCCATCTGTTTCCCAAAGAGATCAGGTGCAGGCAGTGACTGTAAAACAGCAGGCAACATAAAACCCTCCTGCTTCCTGTAGTGCTGTCTCAAAAGGAACAGTTAGGCAGCGTCCATGCGGTGTGAACGACAGACAAAGGAAGGCACCAACATCAGTTCTCTGCAGAGCTGCCACAAATAAAGCGTATTTCTAGTGGAGTGTATCAGTTTTTAGAGGCTGTGTGCTGTTCTAACTCCTCTTCAGCATGACTGCTCTGTTGTGTGAGGTATGGGGTTTTCACCTCATCAGAAGAAAGAGGGAAACAAGAACTGGCAAAAAAAAAAAAAAGAAAAAAAAGCACAAAACAGCTTATAAGATGCTCATTCTGAGACAAATCTCTTAGTTTTTATCTCCCCTCCTCCCTGTTTTGCATTTGCTTTTAATTTCCTCTGAAATTAAAATGGTGGAGAGGCAGATGGAGACAACAGAGTGAGGCAAAAAACTAACGGGGTTGGCACCATCCAAACTCTTCAGTAGTAGGAATGTGAGTAGTCAGGCACTGAGACAACAGATAATTCCTTAACAAAATTATAATGATGATTTAGTCAGTAACAAATACTAAATTATTTCTCCATTCCTCTCTTTAGAGGAGAGGGAGATGAAATGAGTATCAGCATCTCTGCATGAGCTTGCTTCATTCTGTGTTTTGGAATAAATGGCACAAATCAGCAGCCTCACAGGGAACTGACTGGGACATTTTTTCTTTCATTGCTTCCATTAAAATGTTGTCCACAAGTCTCGTGCTATCCAGTCATTCAGCTCCTGGGCCAGTCACTCTGATGCTTGTGCCTCTCTTAGTGTAACTCCTGCATAGTGCACAAGCATTGGGAAACATTTCCCTCACCACTTATCCTTTTGTAGGAAGCACTGATATTTGAGCACCATCTCTGAATGATCATTAATTCTGTGTGGTGGCTTTGAATAAGTGTTTTTCCTTTATGGCTGCAGTTAAGAGCCTTTGAAGATATTTGGCTAGGCCTGACAGGAACTGCTGCTTCCTCATCTGTCCAGAGCCAAATCCTGGTGGAGGGGATTATTGATCAGAAAGAAAAAGTAAAAGTAGCTGCTTCAAAAGGAAAGGAGTGTTTTCAGTACTACATGGGGTATCTGCAAGGTATGTATCTCACTGACCATGCTCTCAGCCACAGGACTTCATTCTAGGTCATCCTGCAAAGACCAGGGAGCTGGACTTGATGATACTGATGGGTCCTTTCCAACTGAAGCTATTCTGCAACTCCCAGTGTCATTGCTATGCAGAGACAGGAAGAAAGTCCTGTCTCTAGCACTGAGTTAGCTCATTTCATTCAAACTATGGTCTTTCAGATATAGAAAACCTGAAGTTCAAAATTTGTTACAAAGCTCAGTTTGGGACACATTTTTTTATGATTACAATAGATGGTAACAAAAGATAGGATCAATTTCCTCTTGATTTGACCATCTTAAAGTTTTGTGCCTTGTTTAAAATAATAATTGCATTCCAAATTCAATAAAGGAAATGAGAGAGGCACCTCCGGAAACTGACTGTACCACATGCTGGAACAGCTGTGTGAACTGGGATGTGTGAAGTGGGATGTGTGCAGTCACTGCCTGCAGGGGATTGTCTCACAGCAGTCAGCTCGACTGACAACGGAGAGGAAAAAAAGGCCATTGTTTCAAGTTATGCCTAAATTCTAGATGAGTAAAGTGAGATGAAATGAGCTGCAAGAGGTCGGCTCACCCACATTTCAGCTACAGTTAGAGTTGGGTGCAAACCAAATAGATTTGGTGGTATCCCAGTTGTCTCAAACTCCTGTTGCTGACAATCCCAGCCCTTGTTCACTTATGGATTTGCTATTCCACACTTCTGCATGGGAGTTTCTCTCAAGTTCATGTTGTCACCTGTATGTGCTATGATGTTTCTGAGATAAGGACCATTAGTTTGTGAATCACTGAAGTCTGAAGTTTGTAGAAATGACTCAACTTAGCTCTCTCAACCCAGATTCTACATGCACCTTGCCAACCACTTATTTATGCTCATCAGTGGTTCTGTAGAAATGACTTGTGTGTGTGGTGGGTGGAACTGACAGGCTTTCATTTAAGGGCTGAGCAGTTTTGAAACATCTGCAGCAAGGGACAGTGAGGACTAAAGTAGAAAAAAAGGCCTTGTAAATCAGTATGACTGAGAGATTTAGATTTACATTAATCCAATGCTTCCTTTGCAGTAGCAAATCTGTCTATATAATTCATTAACAAGCCACACAGAAGAGATCAAATCCTGACACTGATCTAATTGTCTCTTGTTTATATCTTCTGTTTTGTTTTAGTTTTTTCCTCCACGCCTAACACACTCAAGCTCTGATTAATCACCTAAGTAATTAAAAGCTGGCTTTGAAACAATGTCTGTCAATGTTGTTCCTGTAAATGAAGGCTCTTTTTTCATTCCTTAAGGGCATTTGGAAGAAGGAATGGAAGTCAGTGCTTGTTCTGATGGGAAACGGATGGCTGCCATTAACACCTATCTCAGCATCAATGGTAAAAGGCAGGAAAACGTGGGACAAGTAACTCTAGCAGCTGCTAATGGAAGCTTGAGTTTTCTGGCCCATGGATGTGGGGATCCAGTTCTTAAGGCTGAGGTGAGACCCTTGAGTGGCTGTTAACTGCAGTATGACTTTCCCAGAATATTATTTGTTATTTTGATGGAGCACCTTCCATGCAGTTTGGTGAGTAACTAGGCAAAATTATGCAATGTTGTAATTATTTTCACGTTGATGTGAGAAGTTACCACGGTGAGAACTAAGAAATTCAGCCATGTCTAGAGATAGAAAATACAGGACCCTCTTCTAAAGGGTGGATCCTCTGAGGAGGTTAAGTAAATAAAGTGAGAGCAGCAGTAACTGCTCAGCCTGTTGGTTACAAAACTAGTGATCAGAATCCTGAACGTACTTTCACTTTTAGTAGGGTTTCACATACTCTCTACTTGAGGAAGGCTTTTTGCTTTTTACCGTTTGACTTTTCTATTCCCTTGTCTGCATTGAATAATGCAGAAGTAGTTTCCCCTAAGAAACGTGAGGCCAAAGTGGGTGTTTGCTGGCCTTTAAACTAGTACAAACTTTGAATGATTTGGATCCAGCACAAGCAATTTGAAGTAATGAATTCAGGGTTTTAACAATCTTCTACAGAACAAGCTTAATGAAATTGGGAGCCTTTTGAAAGCCACACTGACTGAGAAGATAAAAAAGTTTGATGGATACCTGTGGAGATTCAGGAGATCAGTAAGTATCTGTACATGATCTGTGAAAACACCATGAAGTGTTCATGCAGTGTTAGTTAAACATCATTATATTGCCTGCAGCTGTTTTGTTTTGCTCAAACATTTCAGTGATTACTCCTGTGCTGACCTGTATACAGAGACAAAATGCATGTTTAATGGACACAGTGTATCTCTGCACCAACACTGCGAGTCAGAATTGCCTCGCAATGAAGTCAAAGCTTTGCTTGAGATCACTGTGTGTTTTTAAATTGCTTCTTTTTTGGACGCACTGTAGGTGCAGCATGTTGGTTTCCTGTCTGAAGCAGCTGGCTGGCCTTCAATGGCCTTGCAAAGGGCAGCAGAATTCCTGCACAGTGGGGCTACAGCTATCACCCAGGTGTGGAAGCAAAGTGGAATTGGACACATTCTGAGAAGCAGGATCCCACTTTACCTGGAGAAAATTCAAGATGTTGTCCAGCAAATGCAGAATGAATTACAAAGTAAGCAAAATGGTGCAAAGCAAGAAGAGGGACAATGTCAGTGCAACGCAAATGAAACTTCACTGTAAACTATAAAACATACTGAACAGCACAAAGGTTTCTATTTTGATCTAGCAATAAGTGCTGACCTTGGCTCTTGGTGTACAGAGTGGGAGCCTTGATGCAATAAGCTCTAAGAAGGCTCTGTGTGAGCACCTTTCTAATGAAATCAGCGGTGAGGCTCTTTCTGAGTCGCAGGAGGCTGGGTTCAATTGGATGAGAAGAGAGTCCTTAATTCCTAAGCTGAAGTATTTCTGCTACCAGTTCCCTGGCAAGCCTTTCCCCCCAAAGGCCTGTTCATATCCCTCCTTGAGTTTTTAATGCTTGTACTAATTGGATTTCACTTGATCTGTTTTTTTTCCAAGCCTATCCAGTAGCCACTAATTCACTGTTCAGCTGGATTGTGGCCCACACCGAAACCTTTGAGAAATGTGGTCAGCTGGAATTAGCTGTGAGAACCTTCAGTTCTCACAAGGGTAAAACCTCACTTGGGGCCACTTAGCTCTAAGCTATTCCCTCTCAAAAGTTGAATTTGGTTGACATAGCATGCTTGAAATCAGTTGTGACCAAACTGTCCTGTTGCTCAGCAAGAGCAGTCTGTGCAGACAGTACAGCTCTGACAGGGACGCATTGCAGAGCATCCTTACACTGCTTCTGGACAGCAGCAGTGTATTTACAAGGGGTCAGGGTCAGAGCTAAATGGCTCTTTCAGTTCACAGCTGTGCAATGTGCCTGACTGCCATGGAAACACAGCTGTCTCTTCTACTTTTCTGTGCTCCCCCTTCACGTATGCTGGAAGTTGAGTAGAAACAAACAAGCAAACAGCCGCTTTGTACCAAACCAGCTAAGATCTGTCTCATTAATGCGTTTGCTTCAGAGCCATTAGCAACTTTGAAAGATGCCTACTACGATGTAACCTTGAAGCCACTGGATGAAGTCTGGAAAGAGAAGACAGAAGAGCACATGATGAAAATCCTGTCTTTCTTACCCAAGATTGTAAAAGATGTGTGGCTAATGAAACCAATTCAGATGGCATTAAAGGTCGCAAAAGCAGGCTTGGATATGGTTGGTAAAACTCTGTTCTTCATTTCTAATTCAAGGCCTACAAATTTAAGTCTCAGCTTTGAACTATGGATACACAAAAATAGTTAACTATTTTTGTTTATGGAAATAGTGCAGTTGTCTTTCCATATAATAAACTTCTGCGCAGCTGATTTACTGTTCTTGCAATATTTGTCCTGCTTTGAAAGAGTAGTTTTCCAGCTACAGGAGAGGTTGTTTTACTAGTTCTGCTTGAAATCACAGCAGCAGTAATCTGTCATTCATGTAGCTTTTACTTTTCTTGCATAGAGAGGAGAAATTGTGATTCCAATGAACAGTGTACAAGTAAATCTGGGCTCTTCTAGTTGAAATGAAAAGCATAAAAGCTATATCATGAGGCTAACTTATATTATTAAAGATACCAGTCCTTTCCAAGCTACTGAAGCACATTAACTTAGTGAAGCATTGCTACACTTTGTTATTTAGGAGAAATGTATTTCTGTCCATTGATGTTGTTAACTAGAGTCTGTCCTCTGGATATTATTAACCTCTACAAGACAAGATATTGTCAGACAGGAGACAAATGCAAGAGACACTGAAGTGGTATTTTGCATTTCTTGATTTAAAATTCATTTGCAAGTACTGACCCTGCCCTGAAGTCATACTGAAATTGCTTTTACAATCTGTGACTCTAACAGGCCACCCAGCAGGTGCTCAGGTGGGCAGAGGCCACGTTTTCCAGAGCTGTGAGCAAGATCCGGAAGCCCTTGCTGAACCTGTACAGTTTTTCACCCAGGTAACTGGTGTTTTTGCAAAAGGAAAGTTTTTGCTCTGGGCAGTGTTTTAAAAGGATATGTGCACAGTTACTCTTCCTTTCAGTGTGCAGCTGAGGGTTCTGAACAGCACCCAACCACTCTTTGGTTAGGTCACATCATGGTTTATTTCTGTTGGCTGCCAGACCCACTGTGTTTGAAAGGAGCTACTGGGCAGCAAACAGGCTATCAGTAACTGATAACTGGCCTGAGGTGACCTGGGGAAGTGCAGCTGTTGGCCAGAGTAGGGTTGTGTCTTGCTGTTCTAACCAGACTACAGTTCTTATGAATGTTTCACTTCGACATTTCTGTTAATAAAACAACAGCATTTCATCAGTTCAGCAGATAAGGGATGTTCTCTTTGTATTCTACAGGAACTGTTCAGTGGCAGGAAAGCTGCCAGTACTACCTACAGCAGACCTGTCCCTGCAGCTGGCAAATGTTACCACTTACCTCATTGGAGAAAAACTAATGAGGCCTCTGCAGGACCTCTACAATCTCAACATACTTGCAGAGTACTACAGGATCAAACGGAGGATGATGGAGAGCCCATTTGAATGTAAGCCCTTTCAAAGTGCTGCTTTGTTTGGTACCTGGCTCTATTTCCACTTAGTACTGTATTTTAAAAATTGTACCTGGAATAGAAGTTTACATAGAGATGGTCACTACTTAATAATTTTCTTATCAACTTACATATAGTCTTTCTTGTAAGATAGTGATGATATGTATAACACTCTGAGCAAAGCTGGCAGGCAGTAACACTGCTCTACTTAATATTAATGCAAATTTTGTAGTTCTTTACACTTCTTACTCTTGAGACTAGAAACAGCAGATGGTATTTATCTGCCTTATCCATATGCTCTTGTGAGTTGATACTAGGGTTCACTGCCAGTCTCACCTGCTGGCTCTCTGTCCTGGCACAGAGGCTTGGAAACTGGTGACTTTGCCTCTGCTGCCTCTAGGATGAGCCAGCTCAGCCCTACCAAAACTTAATCAACAATACTGCCTGTAAAAATATTGCTAAATGCTAAAGGAATGCACTAACAGTCCCAACTGTCTCTTAAAGAGAATGGCTTTTCCAGAAAACCCTTTTTAATGGCTTCCTCCCAGTACAGAGAGACCCATCTGAGGGCTGTGAAAGTAGCTCCTAGTGACCCAATAATCTGAGTCATCTGTGAGCAGGGTTTCCTGGATTGCAGCTGTTTGATGCACTGATTTGGAAGGGTCATTTTTGGACACAATTTTTGAGAATTAATATTCTTGTGTTTTCTGCATAAGAATGTATAATGTGTGTGTTTATAAATATGACTGTCAAGTAGTACAATGACAAATCAAGATGAGCTCTGAATCCCAGTTCAAGTTGAACAGTTTTATGGCACTCAGGTAAATCTATAACAAAAAATAAATCATTAAATTGTTTTGTTTCTGAGAAAAGTTTTGTTGTAGAGCAACTACATTGTAACTAATTAAAATGTAAGTGTAGTAATGCCACTGTAATAATAATTTTAGAAGTTATTTTAAGAGTATGACAGCAAGAAGCAGTGTGTGTTGCAGTATGTGCAGCATTTACTGCTCTGTGGAAAACTCACTGATGTTTCTTCTGAAATACTATTCTCCAGATCATGCTATTTTAGTGGGGACCAAACATCTTGTGACTTTTGATGGAAGAATGTATGATTTGGCATCAAAGTGCAGTGTACTTCTTGCCAAGGATTTTGTTCACAGTGCTTTCACTGTAATACTAAATGAGGAAACTAGGAACTCAAGATCACTGTATGTGGAGATGAATCAGACTGTGATCACTATCTACCCACGACTGAAGGTAGGAAGATCAAGTCAAACATTTTTTTATTTTTGGCAAAAATTTTCTTCTTTCTTATATTTTTAAAATATTAATGCTGAAAACAGATCAGAAGCACTCTCAGGCAATGGCTTTAAAGTAACAGCTTCTTAAAAAGAAAATATCTCTCCAAAACAAAACCAGTTTAACTCAAGGGCTGCCTCTTTGCTCTCTGTATATGACAGAAACTTTTCAACTTTCCTCAGACATGATCTAAGAGAATGGCACTGACAGGAAGACTTTGTGCTTTTTGCTCTTTCAGAAGTTTAACACAATCCTGTTCTTATTCCCTTAATTCTGGGCTAAGTTGGCCTCATTGCACCTGCAAATCCATTGTGCTTGCCTGTGACTGAACTTTCACTATGACAGGTTTGAAACTGCATTTTCATTTTAAAACAGATATCCAAGATGTATAACTTCTCCTTTACGGAAGAGAACTGCCAAGTGCTGGATCAATCCCTTGAAAACAGTACCATGAATTCAAGGCAAGGAACCAACAAAATAGAAGTATCTGATCAGAAAGGAGTTTCTGTCTCTTGTGACTTTCAGTATGATCTCTGTACTGTCACTCTGGCTGGGTGGCACCATGGTGAGTATCAATCACACAGCTGTTGTCAGCTGTAAGTAATTTTTGCTATCTCTCTGAATTATCTGTATTACTGGTAGTACCAGCATCTGTGCTTTCACTTTTTTTCCCTCGTCTTAATTTATAGACACCCTGGAAATGGCCCTAGGCATTCCCAGTAATTGCCAGATAGAGCATGGAATGCACCATTCCAGGGAGAAGAGCAAGTTAGGGTTACTGTCGATTCAATGCTATGAAGCAGACAGAAATCAGAGGCAGAGGTACTGAAGTCAGCCCAGCCTCAAAATCTGGTTGAGAATCTGCTCTAGAGCAGGCTTAGCTTGTCAGACCTGCAAGACAACTACAGAGGGAGGCCCAAAGCCTCATAGAGTTTTTTGTATACTTGGAATGCATTCATGTATCATCCATGTACCCCACAATATTCTAAAAGTCACCCTCCAAAGATGAGCAGAGAATGGATCTGATGCCATGACATGCTCAGAAGCCCATGAGCAGCTGAGACACGAGATGGCAATGCAGGCTGGGCAGCTTCCCCTCTTCCACAACAGAGCTGAGCTCTGCTGGACAGAATCATCAGAGCCCAGAGACAGCTGCTGCAATATTCCTGCACCTGCTCCTGACAATTCCTATTTTACTCCATTTCAATTTCCTCCCAGGTGTTTCAGCTGGGCTTTTTGGTACCAATGATAATGAAGCTGGAAACGAATGGATGGTGCCTAATGGTTCCTTGACTGACAACGTGAAAGAGTTCACACAGAGCTGGCAGGTAATGAGCTGAGGGGCTCCTGTGTGCAGGGCTGCTGACAGAGGGCACTGTCTGACACGCTGGGTTGGCTTAGATGAACTAAAGCTCGATAGTGAGAACAGCAGCACACTGCATTGTTTTGCTGTGTCTAAGCAGGGAAAGGGTTGCACATATCTGCTAAAAACTCTTCAAGAATTCCGTACAAATAGGCATTGAATATTTTTGGCCTAGGTGGTAAGGTAAAACATAGAGGTGGCTGTTTTGATTTTAGAAGAAACTGATATTGGAGCTAAGTATCTTTGATGTTTTCCTCCTCAGAGCACCTTTTCCTGGAATGCAGGGAGAGGTGCTACTAGGTCTGGGCTAAATCTGTATGTTCATCACTCAGGCCACAGTCTGAGGTTTTCTTTAGAGCTGTTAGTTCTAGCTGGGTATGTTGAGCCTCTTAATTTTCTTTGTTCTTCATGCTTTACATCTCATCAATAAACAAAACTTTAGAAACAAATCTGTAAGTATTTGAAAGTAAATTTTTTCTCCATCCCCACACCACTAAATACTCAGACATTTTTGGAAGGTTAGCTGCTGCTGTCAGTTACTGACTTGCACAAAAAAAGACTCCTACAACTACCATGAATAAATGTAACAATTTTATACCATTAACATTATAGCTCTGCTTAATTCATGTACTCTGTCATTAGCTGCAAATAATCTAAATACACAAACATGCAGTTGTACAGAACCATTTGTGAATACAACCTACAAAGAAAAGTAGCCTTAACATGCTCTCAAGCCATGTTGACAGGATCCTCTAAATCCCTTCCAAATCTAGTTTTAAGAATCTATTACCAAAAAGAAAAGAAACCAGCATCTTATTCCCACAAAGATTTTGTGACTCTTCCACTTATCCTGTCTCACAGAAGATGTCTGAGTTCTGGGAACAGAAATCTCATTTTCAGCTTTATGTCAGTACTTTACTGTAAAAGAGAGAATTGCTTGAAGTATCTTGTACTTCTTGCTGTTGCAGAGCTACAGTTAATGAGCTTGCAGCCTATGTTTATGTTAATAATGGGGCAGGATCCCAATGTGACTGACCATAGGCACAATTTTCTTTATTGCTACAAATATTAACTTCTAATATACTTACAAAAATGCAAAACTCCCCAGAGAAATTGAACAAAAGAATGAATTAAAAGCAATAAATAAGAAACTTGGGTCATACAGAAGCAGGGCAGTCCTGAGTGCCCTTCTTTAGGAGCAGAATGGCTGCACTTGCACTACTGATTGGAAGGGCTCACACTGGACTGTGAACTCTGACTGCAGCTTGTTCCCAGGAGCTTTATCACAGCCTTGTCATGCACTGACCTTGCAAAGGACGTCAGCAGAGCTCCACCATCACAAGGCCAAGGCTGCACAACAGGAAGGGACTGAGTGTCTGACTCCTGCAGGATGGGGGTTAGCACAGAGTAAACTGACAGTTCACTTGCCTTAGTAAGTAAAATAACTACAATTTACACTTGCTTTAAGAACTTCTTGGTGGTGTGGTTTTGTTGTTCTTTCTTTTTAAAGCTACCTTTACCTATGACTAATCCAGCAAGGGTATGAAGCTTTTTTTTCTCCATGAGAAAGATCTAGTAAAAGCACAACTCTGACCTGTCAGATCCATATAAAAGAGAACTAGCCAACTACCTGCTATGTCAGCAACTACACACCAAAATCCTTCAGTGAATAACAGAATCAATAGCAAAAGGAAACAATATCTAATCTGTGACGTGCCTCTCAATATAAATAAACAACATTAGAGCAGGGTACTGAGCTGCCCATATCATCCTTCAAACCAGCTCACGCTGGAAATCTGAAAAACTCATCCAACCTTGATGTATGCAAAAAAAAACCCCAAAATACACCAACTTCAGTAATTCTGTTTTCCCAGGTGAATAAGTGCAGTCTGGTACAGAAGAAAGAGAAGCCATGTCCAATTACAGCTAAGCAAAACATCTGTAAAGTGTTCTTTGAAGAACCACATTCACTTCTTAGGAACTGCTTCAAAGTTGTAAGTAGAACTTCAGCCAGAAGCACTGTCTTAATTATGTGTCATACTTGCAATGAGGTCACATAACCATTGCAAGGATAGAGATTAGTTGCAGAAAACTTAAGAAGTAATCAAAATAGCAATCCAGACAGAATAAAAAGGGGTTTTTATCACCATAAATATAAATGGAGGTTTTTGACATCCACAGAATAGTGGCATGACTGCACTGCTCTTTAGGATACAGGTGTAGAATTTGGAAACAGAAATAACCTCCTCACTATTAGGAAGGAAATAAAGGTTTATAAATGGACCTAACCAGCAGGGGGGAGGGGACACAACCCAAACCTCTGGGTTTTCCTGCAGGTCCCTCCTAACCTCTCCCTTTGTGCCCAGGTGGAGCCCGAGCCATTCTACACCATGTGTACACAGGACACCTGTGACTCCCCGGCCTTGGGGGCTGCCTGCAGCTTAGCAGCAGCTTTTGTTCATTTGTGCAACCGGAATTTTGTCCCTGTTGAAATCCCTCCACAGTGGTAAGTTTCATTTCTTTTACCACCCTGAATATTCTGAGTGCATTGCTCCAGTACTTACATGTCTGTGATGCAAGAACATATGAGAAAATAAAACTAATGAATCTGACTGTGGCCATGAGCAAAACTGATCCTATTCCCAGAAATGCTCTTCTTGCCTCTTGGCTACCTCCCCTTCCTGCTGTTCACTCACAAGCACACCAGAGCCCTTCCACTGCACACTCTACTGCCTTTCTTATTCTGTCCTGATGTGCTGTGTAACAGAGGCAGAAGGCTACCTGCAGAATACTGTGTAATGTCCCCAGGAGTTCCTCCTCTTGTATACTGTCTGGTTCCATCTTTTTTTTTGGTCTGAATAATGCATTTGGATTCATATTAACAACAATACATATACAGACATAAAATACTCAGGGACTTATTTTTGCACTTTTCAGTATCTAGTAATGAAATTTATCTATCTTTTCAGCCTAGAATATCCAGATTATCAATACTTGTGTTTTAATGCAGCTGTCATCCAGATTGCATTGTTAAGTGGATTCCTGGAATATAGCCAAGAAGATGAAAAGCCTGAATAGAGCAGTAGCACTTGCTTGAAATCTTTATAATTACAGTCCTTTCCCACTTCTGTAGTTATTGTGCCAATTTGTGTACTCCAAAAGTGACTGGAGCCACATGTGCTTCTAACTGGAGTTCCATTATTGATACTCTTGCCCAAGTAGTAACTCACTGTATTTTTACAAGACTGCAATGGAAACATTTACACCAAATAAATGGCAGAATCATGCAGAAAAGCGAATTATGCTTTTGCCTGAAACGAAGCACTTGGGTTTATTCCTTTTATGCTCCATGCTTTGCTAAGGCTTAGTAATAAAAAGAAGGTGGGGTTTTTAATATATGTATTGAAACATTATTTGCATTTGTAAACTCACTGCTATCTCAAAGGACTGATTTGGCGACTATAAACCCATTTGTAGTATGCCTTGAAAAATTTACAATTATTACCTGATTTCTTTCTTACCCATTAAGGAAGGGAGTAGTATTTGTAAATGGGTTTGTTGGCCATAAAATAAAAACCTACAAAAAGAACACTCACTGTGTCTGTAAGTGCATCACATCACACGCCCACACACTGAAACAATGTTGCCTGTCAATATCTGCCTGAGCTGTTCAGTTCACTCAGCTCCTAAGCAGTGGATGATCAGGACATTCGTGGGCAGCATCTTGTAGGCAGCGAGAGGTTTTAGCTCCAGCAGCTACAAAAACTCTTCAACATATAAATATGAAATACAGAGACAAATTTTGTTAAATCTGAGTCGACAGAATATTCAGTTGAAAATGAGAATAGCTTGGTAGCTGAATGATTGCAGTCAGCTAGTGCTGCTAGTTTACATTATCCCATTTCTGAGGAAAAGGATTGGAATGAAGGTGGACCACGAGCTCAGTTACCTAGAACATGTTAATAAAGAAGCAAAATACATTGGGGATGTACACATGAATCAACGTATTGAAGACAGGAAATACCTTCTTCTCTATTTAGCTTATTTCATATATCCAGTTTTGGACACCATCTTTTACTTAAATTGTGAACCAGTTGAGAACAATCCTGGGGAAAAAATTGAAGGGTTGAGGAAAGACATGAGTTAAGTCTCTAAATATGTAAACACTCTAAAGAGAAGGAAGTTGAACAGACCAAACTAAGGGAGAATTAGGTTTGACACAGTGAAGAGTCTGTAATGGTTGGGTTACTCAGACATGGTAACTGATAACCAGCAACAGTCATGACAGCAAAACAGAAAGTGGCTGTCAGCAGAAACTACCTCTGCACTATTACTTAGAAATTCATGCTTGTCAAGGATCTTCCACTGAATAGCTGAACTACCCAGACCTCATAAACTTTAGAAATAATGTTGCCCTTTTCTTCCAGAATGTGAATTTATCAAACATGAGAGAACCTTACATCTTTATTTCAGTTTAGCGATCTAAGATAAAACCATATCTAAAATGCTGGAGTACTTTCCCCACAGTGTTTTGATGTCATAAATATATCTGATGCTATTTTCCCTTCAGAGATTTTTTTGTATTTCACTGTAATGAGAGGTTGCATTACATGTGACTTTTACTTACTTATCACTTACCTGGAGTTCATCTCTTCTTCATTTCAGCTCAAGCCAGTTCTGAATGGCAGATGCCAGCCCTGAAGATGGAAGAACCCTTTCAGCACCCAAAACAAAACAGTTATTTTAGGCAGAGAACAGTAGAAGCGTGAATGCATTAGTGTTAACTGTGAATATAGTGAAGTATATATAGTATAAAAGGAAAACTTTCGACCCAGAACCTCTGAGGGCAAGAGGAATTATTTCAGTATATTGACAAGAAACTATAATCAACCAAAAGAAATCAGAGAGGAAAGTATCAGTTACTCTAAAAAAACTCTCTCATTCGGTTCCAAAATTGCCTCTCCACAAGCCTTGAACCATAGCACAAATACACTGAAAAGCTGAGAAAAGCTCTCTTCCAGCTCAGATTGGTACAAGTGGACTACTTTGTGAAAGCAGCATCATCAGCTCTGTCAGCAGAGATGCTGACTTCTTTTTTCTCCAGAAATGAAACTGCACCCTTCAGTGGTTCTGGAGAAAGTTATCTATCTTTTCCAGGGAAGTGCTCCAACACACAAGAAGGCCAAGACAGAAATAAGATGGGTAAATAATGGAAAGCAGTTAATAATTTTCTCATTTTTATGCTGGTTGACTTTTCCCTTATTAATGTACACACACTGTTAAATGAGAAACAGCCTTCTTAGTTTCTGTGCACCAGTTTCACATTTTCCCTTTGTGTCTTTGGAAACCCCTTGGCAGCAGTCAGTTGATGTGTTGGGAAAAGGTGACCAATATCTACCCTACCACGAAGTAACGTTAGGGTGTTATAGCTACTGCTGTGTGAGTCTCACCTGTTGAATCCCTTTCTGTATTATAGGTCACTTGATTTAAAAATTGCATCACCTTTCTCCACACAGTGCCTGGAATGCAGCTATTCCTTGGTAAAAGGTAATGCTGCATATACAATGTTTGTGTAATATGCAAACATTGAAATAATGGTGTTTCGTACTATGACATCATGCTGATAAACATTTGACTGCCTTATTTTTACACTGGAGTACATTTTTATTGATTATTCGTAGCAACAAAGTTGCACTGACCTCTATAGAGAGTTGGCACTGGCTGGGTTTGACTGGCTCAGGAAAAGCAAGCAGCTGCCTCTTATCTCATGTGTGCTGCTTGCAGCTGCACTTGATTTCTGAACACTTATTCTCTAGCTTGATACAAATTAAAACATGATTCCTACATTAGTCAGGAAAGAATCCTGCAATTTTTAGGATTCCCACACACATCAGATGCTAGAAATCAAGTCTTCCTCTGTAATAATTTTATACCTGCACCCTTGTAAAAAGCCAAAATGGTATGAAATATTTCTGGAAGTTACAGAATATTTATACCAGTTACTGACTAAAAAAACATGTAATTTTTTCCCCAGTTACTGAATGTCACTTTACTCCCCAACTAAGCATACCAAGCACCTCTGAAAAAAATCCTACAGTGACAGTTTCAGAAACAAAGAAAAATATCAGCAAGTAGAGGAAAAGATTGAGAATAGCTCAGTCAGCAATACAGGAATTTAACTAAATGCTAACTGCAGACAGCAACACTGAGGTGGATGCAGACACTAGGTCTCCTCTAAAAGCTGCATGTAACTTATCACTTGTAATAAAGAAGCCATTTAACTACCAATAAACATTTTTAACTGCAGCCATTTCACTCAGTCCAGTTGTTTGGTATCTCTGAGCTGTTCCTAGGTTCACAGTGCACAGTTCCTGTCTAGATACTCTTTAGAGAGTCAGGAACTTGTACAGGCCCTGGACACACCTCAAGCCCTGAAGCTCAGCAGGAGCCAGCCCCAGCCCTGCTCTGACCCTAGAGCCACGGGCCAGGTGGAAATCCTGCTGTCCCCATGGGCTGGGCTGGACACCCCACTGACCCAGGGCCCCTGCGCACACAGGGCATGTATGAGACACCACGTACACTGAGCAGGGCTAACAGCCACCCTCAGGGGTGACAAAAAAAAAAAAAAAAAAGAGAACAACCCCACACTTAAATGAAGTGTTCCAGGTCATGTTCATAACTGGAGTTTAGCACTGATTCACAGCTGTCATGAATAAAGCCTTATTTCCATGTTTCTGCACGGGCAGCTGTGCCTTTGCTGCCTGACTCTGCTGTTAATGCAAAGGCAAATGCTCTGTCACACCTGTTCACCAAATACCTGCCTACAAACACAGCAATGTCACAGGCTGTGACAGGAGTTCTTAAATGGACTGTGTAAACCTTTTAATGAACCCATAAAACCATCCAGCCAGACTGTTTTTAAGTATACCTTATTTACTGCATGGTAATGTCTTACCTGAGGAATTAAAAATGGAGCGCACACAACACCCTCCTGCCTAACAGAGGAGAGATGGAGCTCCTATCAGCAAACCAACACCAGAGTGACAGGGGGATGTGGGGAAGCCCATTCCAGGTGTACCTGGAGGGAGGGACAGCAGTGTCCCTGCAGGGCAGTGTGCCAGCTCCACACTAAACAGCCCTCAGGCCAACTGAGACACCTTTGTGATTTCTCATGGATGTGAACCTCTGGAGAAGAATCACCTTGCAAGGGTTTGACTGAAGCATTTATCAGATCAATCCATCAGCTTCAGTATTTCAAAACTGGCTTTTATCTCTGCACTAGCCCTGGCTTTATCAGGACTGAACTTTTAGTAGATAACTACTGGCAATGCTGCACATTACTGAACACCTTGACTGAAGTAATCCAGAGCGTTTATGCCTCAGATGCAGGTCATGCAGAATATAAACTATATATATAAACTACGTTGTCATAGGGCAAATACATAATATGCACTGCATATCTCATGGATCTCCCCATCACAACACAGGAATTTCTGCCTCTGTAGCTCCTGCTGTGAGAGCACTTTGAACACACCTGCCCAGAGCAGCTGTCTTTGCAGAGCACACACAGGTGCAGTCGTGCTTCCCAGAGCAGTTTTAGTGCTTACAACTCACCTCCAACACGTTCTTTGTAGAGAACCCCCATGATCCATAAAGTTCACAGAATTTCTGCATATTACACCAAGTTAACCCCAAAACAGATGTAACAAGAGCTCAGCTTTGACCTCCTCCTCAACACAGGGCTGAAGAAGCCCCTTGTGCTGTAACTCCTCAGTTGCATATTCTGCTGTTCAACAGCAACAAAAATCACAAACCCACATTCTAACTGCAGAATTTGAGATACAAGGTGAGGAAAAGGGAGAATTCCCAGTACCCAGTAGAGCCCCACAATGCTTAACTGTGGAAATCCAGAAGCAAGGCCCCTCAGCCCAGCCTTAAACAGGCACCATCAGCTTCTCATGGTGAAGTACAACTGAGCTGGGAGGCAAAGCAATTTCCAGCATTCTTTTGTTTAGAATACAACACTCACCCTGGCTACAAGTGTCTTTTGCTTTGAACTCCTAGGAAAAGAATTTTTAGTATGAACCATTTACCAGCTGATATGGTGGTCCCATGGATTATTTCTGAAGGCTACAGCACTCCACAAGCAGATTTTTTCCAGAATTGCAAAGAATAAATAAACCCAGACTGCTAAAAGTCTTTATCTTTGTATGTCTTGCATTTCATCAGCAGGATCTCAAGAGCACAGGACTTCACTGCCTGTGATATGGTCTGGTTTGGAACACCAAACTCAAGGCTGGAATTGTACTCTGAAATCCAGTCCTTAGTCTGCTAAGATCTCAAATCTTTAAAGGATGCTAATTAGTTTCCACATGCTTTGAAAACGTAGTCCCACAATTTAAAAATTTAATTACCACCACCTGATTCTCATCTTAAATTGTAGAGCATATAATCAGAGATTCTCTATTCTTCCAATATGCATTCCTAATTAACATAACTCTATTGCTGGACAATACAGTCCCCAATCACAAAGCCATTGCACACAGATACTGCAATGCATTCATCAGGACCCAAATTCTCTTTAGACAAGATGGAAAATAAAGAGTAGTAATATTTCTACTTTTTACAGGTTTCTTGATGTGATTTCATAGTTTGTTTTTTTCAGAAAAGGAAAGATAATTTAGAATATAATTTAGAATTATTTAAACAGTTAAAAATAGCATACACTGGAAGAAAACAAGTTTCAAAAAGGAATGCTCTTAGGGACAGAATGCTTGTTTCTGGAGGTAAAAAGTATTTATATCATGCACCTGGAGAACCTATTCCAAGGAATCCTGCATCACAACTTTTCATTAACTTCACTGGAACAGAAGAGTCATTACCACTTTCTGTATTTCAGAAACTAGAGAGGTATTTTAAGTCCAGGACACTGCTAATTGTTACCAAGAGACACCTGTCTTACAAGCAGTTTACAGACATGGTGATTACTGAAATAGAAAATACAGGTGAAAACGATTATTTCCAAGCACAGCCTAAATGGACTGAAGTACATTTTGCCTTGATGCCAGGTGCTGAATTCACCCTGGTAGCACGAGCCCCGTTCAGCCCTTGCTGCCACGAACACCTTGCTGTAGAACAACTGCCTCAACGTGAGCTCCCCCAAGCAGCAGCTAACACACAGAGAAACAAACATACAGCCTTTTTAATAGCATGCACATCTTAATCCAAACATCAAATAGGCACTTCTCAAATATGCTGGCAGAAAAAGAGACTGGAGACATGAACTGTGATTATTATCAGACAAGCACTGGCCCCTAAGCCTAACTGAGCCCAGCTTCTCACTTTGGAGTGGTTACACAGAATAGTCCAATGCTCTGCACCAAAAAGCAAAAGAAAACAAATTTCCAGTTCTTTTAGGCAGAAAGTAAAAGTATTAGGGGATGACTCTGTGCAAATCCTCCACTTCGAGGTTCCACATATTCTTATGGATGGGGTTTTCAGAGAGATCTGTCATCTTTATTGCTCGAAGAATGGGCTCCGGACTGCAGGACCTCACCACACCCATCACCATTACATACTTCCCTAAAAAACAAGTAAGCATTAAATTTAATTAACCTTTGTATTATCATTTAAATTCATAACCCAAATTACTTAAAATCAAGTAAACAGTGCAAATTGAAGATGCTGATACTTGTAAGAAAACTCAAGGAATGAAGACTGCTTAGAACTAAATTTCAGAAAAAGGCTTCATTATCTGTACAGCCTCTTCTACAGCGTATTTAACTGTATTTCCACATACTGTAAGAACCAAACAAACACAAATTTGTCCTGCTGTGTGAGTGGCCTGAGGGTACGTCAGAAGGCTGAAGTTTTAAGCAATGGGCCTATTTTGTACTGCAGCCACACTGTTCTGCAACACTGCAGACCAACACTTCTCCATTTGAACTGGTAGTTCTGGTGAAGGGAAGAAAAGGAAAAAAAAAGCAAGAAAGAAACAGAAAAGAGAAACAGGAGAAGAATTTCCTTGTTCAGGGCCTCCTGCGCGGGGCCAGGCACGGAAATCGGGCCTGGCCGTGCGGAAGGGATGTGCCGAACCGCGCTGGAGCGGGCACGGGCAGGGACAGCGCCCGCTGCCCCGGGGGTGCCCCGGCCCCGCGGTACCTGCGCTGAGGCACGGCCGGCCCTGCGGCACCTGCTCCACGCCCAGCACGGTGAAGGCGCCGCTGCCGTCCTGCAGCCGGGCCGAGCCGCCTTCGGCGCCGCGCTGCACCTCCAGCACGGTGCCCTGCATCCACACGGCCCGCAGGGGCAGCGGCGCCCGGCCCGCCGCCGCCCGCCGCAGCTCCCAGCTGCCGCCCGCGCCGCGCTCCGCCCGCCGCAGCTGCGCCGCCAGCACCTTCACCGGCGGGCCCGCCGGGCCCAGCGCCGCCCCGGCCATGCTGAGGGGCGCCGCAGGGCGGGAAGCGCCCGGCCTTCCTTCCAGCCGCTGAGGGCGGGAAGCGCTCGGCCTGGCCCGCCCCTGAGCGGCGGCAGCGCTGCGGCTGCGGCACGGCCTGCGCGGGATGGGAGGTGCTGTGCGGGACGGGCGGCCCGGGCACGGCGGGGCCGTGTGGGTGCCCCGGCCGGTTCAGCTGCCCCGGCGCCCTCGCTGCCCAGCGGCTGCACCGTGTGCCAGCCCCCCGAGCCACCGCCCCTCACCTGGATCAGCCCGGAGCCTGACTGGCCGTCGTTTTACCGGGTTTCAGTTCAGGAGCGGCCCCTTTCCGTGCAGAAGGCAGTGTGAGCTGTGACTCGGCGCTCTGGTTCCAGCTGAGGGTGCGGCTGAGCTCTGCCCCTGGCCCGGCCCCCCACCCTGCTGAGCGGCAAGGGCCCACGGTGTTCACTTCGGAGCTGATGAAGCTCCGGTTCCGTGAGAAAACAGGAAAATGCACATGCTGATTTTCCCAGGGATGCTCTTCTGGGGAAATCCAGAGCGTGATGCACTGAAACCATGGGCAGTTTTAAGATGGGAGACTTGAATTCCAAGGCTGTAACGAATTTATTTACTGGCTGTTGATATTACTGACAGGCTACTTCACTTTGCTGCAGTCTGGTATTCTTGATATGGTTTCTTTAGTGGGGGTGGGTTAACATTTCATTTAGAAAATAAGCCAAGAAATAAGCTAATGAAGAAAGAGGAGGATGGAACAAAGACAATAATCAGGAAAACCAAAGGGATGGGTTCATTACTTTCACAAGTCCTATAACCTACAAAAGTGCAGAATGGGTAAAAATACACTGATTACAAACATTCTTCTTTAGAAGAGCTTTTGTTCTCCATTAAAATAGGCAGTTACTTTATTTTAAAAATCTGGTTTTGTCCTGAGTAGCAAAATACATCAAAAGACCTTTTTTCCTACTCACCCATCATGTTGTGAATTATTTATTCGGTATTTTTTTTCTAAATATATTTTCTGTTTGGAGACATTCTGTAAATGGGACTGCATTCTTTTTATAGTGTAAGGAAGCAGTTAATTTTTTCTTACCACTTACAGTAAGAATAAAACATAATATTGGTAATAACAATAAAAACACTGACATCTAAGCACAATACAGAACCATGTAATCTGGCAATCAAATCATATAGCTTACAGGAATAGAAAGACATTAGATGGTTACTGTATATGAATGCACAATTTGAGCAAGGCTCACAGGAGAATATTTGTAATTTATGCCCTTAGGCTGCAGTCACTTGACAGCATCAATATTTAGTTTCACATAAAAAAAAATTAATTGTGCCAAATATTGATAAAAGTATTGTATTCCTATTTGTTACTGCATAATAGGAGTGTCTAATGCTTATTAAGCCATTAAATCTACAGATCAAGGCAAGACCCCTACAAGAGTGTAATCTTCAGGAGAGACTAAAAGGTCCCTTTTAAAAGATTTGCCTTCAAGAAATGGTGTTACAAGAAGGGCAAAAGCACTGGCAACCTGCATCAAGAAATGGATTTGTTTTCCTAAACCAGAAAATCCTTTATCTTTCAGTAAAATGCAGAGTTATGCTGAATTATGTGCAAAGCTCTTCCCCAAGACCTGGTGCAGCTCACACAGACAAATTCTGCAGCTGCAGGGAAAATGTCGGAGGCCTCAACAGACTGATCTGGAGGTGGCCCCACAGTGATCACCCTCTGATTGAAGGGTAGCAGAGGAAGCTCAGCACACAGTTGGAAAAAGCACAGAGTTGGTGGCTGCCAGGCTCTAAATTCCACTGGATTAAACATGAGCAGATTTTTTGAGAGCACGCTTGATGCGAAAGTTTTGCTTTGCACGGATTAAAAAAGAAGGAATCAATCTCCTGTCTGCTACTACAATATGCACCTCACTTCAAAGCAATCTTCAAGGACATTATTCCTCAGGCTGACACGTACATGAGATGGTCACAGCATGGTGAAAAAAGGTCAGACTACCCCTAGACAGCACAGTCCAGATGAAAGCAGGAGTCAGGACTCCCTCAGTTTAAGGGATTACACTCAATTACACTGGCAGGGTTTCGTTGGTATGGTGCCAAGAGAGCTTAGAAAAGAATGTGACCCCAGATCTCTGAGAAAAGAGATTTCCAAAGAAGCAGCAACTTGAAATTTTCTGACGAGCTCAGACCTTTTTGTGCTGCCACTGATAGTACCACTTAAAATGGAAGCAATTCCCTGCTTCTCTCCATAATTTTGGTAAAAGGCTGATATTACAGAAGCAGAAAAATCCTTCTTTCCCTTGGCCAGGAAGTCTAATCTTTTACAGCCTTTCATTCTACCTGAAAGAGTTTTAAAAAATCCTTCTTTCCAGTCCACTGGCCAATGTGTACAGAAGAGGTTCTTCAATTTTATTTCTCTTTCCTAGTACTGAGAAGTTATGAAATGGATTGCAAACAATTTTTAAATTTTTTTCCTAGGATTTGGAATCCAAGTAATCATAAGGTTGGGGTTTTTTGGGTTTTTTTTGGTTTGTTTGTTTGTTTTGTTGTTGTTGTTGGGGTTTTTTGTTTGTTTTGTTTTGGGGGTTTTTTGTTTGTTTGTTTTGGTGGTTTTTTTTTGTTTGTTTTTTGGTTTTGTTTTTTTTTAAATTTTATTTTTAGTATTTTTTAAGATCTTGCTTTAGAGATAGAGCTAGCTGGGAGCTCCACAGCTGACTGCAAGAAAAGTCACACAAAGTGTGGAGCTGAAAAATACATAGATCGTAATGGTTATGTCTGAATGGCCCACAAATGTCCATAAAACAGATCTGTAAAAAAACCCTTGTCTCTGGTCAGCCCAGAAACTCATAGGATTCAGAACTCTGAGGATGTGACTGGAGCAGGCCAACACCTGCTCTATTCTGGCATCTCCAGCAACACAGTCACAGAGTGAACTGCAAATGATATGATTGAGCCTTTCATATCCTCATGCAGAAAAAGCAAGCAGCACATGGGAGCTCAGCATCACTGAACAAAGATGTAAAAACAATCCTTTGCAATAATTACTCTGCAAGTGAGGGCTCTGAGATGTCTTCCTTTCCCTGGTATTCATATGAAACTTCACTGAAGGACAGCTTTTAGCACATAGTGTCAGGTTTGACCTTCAAGAGATCTGTCCTAATTTAGATTTATTTTCTTACATTGCACATAGAGCAATATGACACAAACACAAGAATATAAAATTCAGTTGTTCCTGGTGTTTGTTTCGTATTGCATAAAAGATGCAATGTGGACATGCTGACTGAAGTCTGGAAAAACATCCTTCAAGGTTTTTTTTTAGACTATCTCATCATCACTGAATTTAATTAATGATTTGAAATTAATGGATCAATGGTTGGAATTAATGGGTTGGAAGTCAATTGTATTTACATCCCTAACATGAGCTCCAGCTGCTTATAATTTATGCTTCGGGGCAGAGCAGTCTGGCAGATGGATACTAAATTGTGTTTGACCAGGAATTTCAAAAGACCTGGAGCCAGCAAAGTCATATGCTGAAACAGGAAAACTCTAGGTGCAACCTGCCAAGGTTTTAATTAGGAGGTGGCTCTGAATAAGTGGTATTTTAGATGTGACTTGGACAGGGCAGGTAAATGTGAGCAACAGACATCAGAACCCCACTACTTACAAGAACAAGAAGAGTCTGGCCTCTCCCGTGGTGTCATCAAGCCAAAACCTGCACTTAGAGTGACAGAGGAGTCACTCTAACATACGGTGACCTAATTTTGTGGCAAATACCATGAACCAAAGCATTAGCAAGGCACCCCTCAGTGCTCTTTTTCCTTGAGAACCTAATATAGATGCTCTGCATCACATGTGAGCTTGTGCTTGGTGGAATCTGTGGTGGATTATGGTAAGAGCCTTCCTGCAGCTGCCAGGAGCTGCCAGCTGCACCCAGCGTGTGGAGAGGATAAACAGCATCTCCCCAGAGAGTGGGGGGAAACCTCAGCTCGTACAGCCAGCCTTAGCACGAGAAATTATTTCAGTGCTCCCACTGGCATGCAGACTTAACCAGTTCCTGTCACTCACCACACGTCCCTGCCATGGGACCTGCAGGCTGTGAAAAGGGCAATGCTGTCCTGCTTAGCTGACTCATTTCATTTACAAAGAATACTTAGAGGAAATACTTAGAGAACTGCAGTTGTGTTCTGCAGAAGTGGGTGTCACCTGTTGGTTTCTTTCCATGGTATATATATGCTGGCATGTAAAATAAATAAATCAGTGTTCTGTGGAATAGGACTATAACACAATTAAAGAAAAAATTAATTAATCAGTCTTTACTTTTCCAGTATTGTTTGCTGCTCTGGAAATAGTCTGCAGAGCTGGCTTCCAGATGGGCTTATTCAAACTCCTGCACAAGAAAAAAGAACTCTTTAAATAGGAAATATGAATGGCATATAAAGCATTAGATCTTCACCTGACTGAAGCTGGGCCAGTAGCTAGGAGACTTCAGTCACTCACCTTTTGGACTGAGTTTCACTTTTTAAAAGAATTGGATATTTAGCAAAAGCTTAACAAGACTGGAGAGTCTCTATAACCAGTGTAGGGGAATACAGATCACAGTGCCTTCCCTTGACAGCTGCTGCTCTTGCACAAATAGACTCTGATTAGCATGGTCAGCATCCAGTTCATTCAGCGATGTGACAGAAGAAATATTTTCCTAAAGAGCAGTAAGCAGCAGAGTGACATTTTACTTCCAAAAATTTAAAGTCTGAGTTGTCAAATAGAAATCTACATGGAAGCCAGTAAGGCTGAGAAATTACAACCATTCCAGAGAATGCATTGGCAGGATTCTGTAATAATCAAGGCAATATTCAAAAATACATGAAATAAATTTCTGGTGCTTAGTAGGAAGAGGCTTTTACTAACAGTCAAATTTTCAGGCAGGCAAGATCTTTCTCAGGTCCAGCAAAAAGACTGTCTCTCCCTATGAACTTTATCTTGTTTAAACTAAAAACATCACAGCTACAGCACCACATTGGATCCACGAGAAACAGCTGAATGACT